CAGAAGGAGCCGCACAGCAGCCGCTGCCTTACAGCCCAGTTTGGCTCCGTGCGAAGGGAACCCTGTTTGGTGTTGACCAAACTTAGATTTGACAGTCTTTGCGTGTTGCTTGCATCATTCATCAAACTCCCCCTGCGGCTTTTTGACTTAGACAAGAAGGAACGGCATGTTAAAACAAATGTTCAAACAACCTGTGGGAGGTGGAAAAAAACATAGAATCCACCCCCGCTAACCCCTACTGCAACGCTTCACCAACCAAACAAACACACCAACCGACCGACAAAACTTAGCCAACCCAACCTAGCCAAGCCAACCCAACGAAACCAGCAAGGGACCATCATTATGGGTGCACCCCGAATCAGTGAGCTCGCTATCCTGCTGCTTGTATGAGCCCCCTTTGAACGTCGCATCCAAGGAAACGATGGGCCTCAAAGGGAAACGCTTGTTTGATGGCCACGTCAAGTGGTTTGAGCCAAGGCGCCTGCGTGCGCGAAAGAGCGACAAGACCCCGGGCTCTGGCTGTCAATTTTGGAACCTCCTCGAAATGGCAAACGTTTATATCTCAAAGTACATGGGCAACTTTGACCAAAAAAGGGGGGGGCTTCGGATTCGCATGTGCCGTCTGTTTCCTCGCTTTTGCAGACTGGTGCTTCTCAGTTGGCGTGTGGTAAGTTGTCCAAGGGTTTTCATGATGTGGGCAAATTACGCACATGACTCGCACACCTGAATAGGGAATGTAAGAAACCCTTCTGGGCGAGCTCGTTGTACAAAGCTCGCCAGGATTCATGCAGAATGATTTACCCCATCCCCCTGGACAATTTCAAGTGAAATTCTTAGAATTGGGTGGGCCACTTTTGCACCAACTTTCCCTCATGATGGGGGGAGTATTGTTTGCAATCATTAATTTCGCCCTTAAGATATGAACTGGGGTCTTGTGGGCATAGTATTGATCAAGGAGATGTCCAGGTACTCAGGTACTGCCAGGTACTGGGTTTTTCAGCCCAGAATCCCCCCCCCAGGGTCCTTTTGCCCAAGCTGCAGCTGCACACCGTAGACGTCCTCTCTTCCCGGGCCCGAGTAATTCACAGGCCTCCCATCCTGGCGGAGGCGACGACGTCACCGGTCACCGTGTCGCTCGACTTCGCGTTCCGTGCGTTCCGCGAGTGCCAAGTTGGTTTGGCAGCAAGGTGAGACACTCACGTGTTGAGACTGGCCGAAAACAAACCGATATGGGTATGGATCCAAATAAACCCACCAGGGGTCCATTTATCAGGGTTCCATTTTGGGTACGCATTTTCGACCCACAGCCATATTCTTATTTGCCACACAAATGGTCTCCCCAGGAAGTTTGAAGTCCATGAACTGGGAGTGAGCACAGGGCAAGGTCCCGGTTCCGCAAGGGCCTAAGTTTCCAATGGCCCCCCAACAGAAGATACCGAAAGACACCAATCGTCGCAGGCGGCTTCAATGGCTGCTTCGTTGCTAGGGCTATGACCCATATGGAGATTGGGTTCCATTTCCAAGACCAGTGGGGCATGTACCCAAAGACAAGTGAAGAATCAGAAGGGGTCTGATCTTCAGTGGCCCCGGCTTTCTGCAATTGACTCAAATGCTCGGGCCCCATACTGCTACTGTAAACATCACCCACCAAAAGTAAGCTCATTTTAAAGTGGTTCAGAAGGGACTGGGTCAATCCACGATTTCAAGGAATAATACGGGTGTATCAAAACGGTCGACCTCTTTTCGGACGATCTAGCGGGAAACCAAAACCACACAACCCGTGTTGCAGGGTCGTCTTGAACACCTGTACACCAGGATCTCCCGATGGCTGTCAGATGTCCTAAAACAAGTTGAGCGAAAAGGTCAAATTTGCCAAATCTGACAGCTGTCGAGGGGTAGGGAACCCGCGACCTCGAAGCACCGAGCCTGCTGGCCCTGAAGCCGTGCAATGTTTTGCCGCAATTCCTGCGGCCGGCCAGCCGCGGAGGGGTTTTGGGGGTCTCAAACCGGGCTGTTTAAGGGCCCTAAAATTGTGAGCGTTTGTGGAGAACGGAACTTTGCGTTGACCGCAACGCCAGCAGTGAATGTGTCTTCCCGCAAAGTACAGGGCCATGCCCGCAGATGTTGATTGAAAGACTCCTGGACTCCTGCTATGGCCCCTCAAACAACAACTCATGCGGAGGATACCTAAGACACCACAAGCAAGAAGGGGGTCGGGAAAGCCACGTACCTGTTCTGTTTGCCTCTAAAACAAACCTACTAAAACGAGCGGCTGTAAACAAAAACAACGGCAACATCTACCCACAACCTAGAAGCAACCTACCCGCAAAGCGACCTACAACCAGCCCCACAGACAGCCTTGAAACAACCGGCAAACAATCGACATTTGACTTGTAACAACACAAACCTTACAAACATTTGGCCAACCACTGGTTGCCAATAGACCAGCACACTGCCCGGACAGGCCGCTTCTCGGGTGAGACTGCTTGTGGGAAATGGGGCAGGCCCACTTTCTGTGATACCAAAGAGCCCTCCTTTTGAAGTGACAAAGGGCAGGATGGTCCAATATAGCTGTGGCTCAAAAAACCGGTACCAAAATGGAACCCTGGTAAGTGGAAACATGGACCAAAACCTGCGTAACCCCTCCTGTTTAATTTTGAGCCACACCCATATGACCCTTTCACCACTTTCTGTGAGTGTCCACCAGCACCCGCCCGTTTTAGCAGTTTTTTCTCCGCACGTCGTTGGAGGGCGCTGGCAAAGAACCAATTGCCAGAGAAGCATAACCCACACTCGACCCCTGAAGGTTCTCAAACACAGCACCGCTGCACCATCGATGCATTTCCTGGTGTCGCAAACAGACTAATTCGCTGTGACTGTGCTCCTCTACAACCAATCGGTTGGCCTCGGATGCGAATTCTCATTTGGCAGGAAAAGAAAGTGGAGTTCAAATCCTAAGGGAGCAAACATCTACAAACAAGGAAAACAAAGGGAGCACATCCTAAGGGAGCAAACAATGGAAAAACAAATGCCTATCTGTTGGGTAGATTTGTGCGTGGAGTTTCTTTCTCCGGGGGGGTCGGATTGAAGGAAAAACCATCGCCAAAGCTTTGTGGACTTGCCTTTGGAGACAAACCAATTTCGGCCGTTTCGGCAAATGCTTCACCAACTCATTCCCTGCCCATCGCACTAGCAAGAAATTGGTCCCCTGAAAGGAATCCACCAGTTGGATGGTTTATAATGGTTTATAGGGGTCATTCCATTTCTCCTTCCGTGAAAAAGGATGCTCATTTCAACGCCCTGGACGTGGAAAAGTCATGCTCGACTCAGCGAAAAAGGAGTTTGAGCACGCACCTCCTGGCGCCGCAGCCGCTCCTCCCGCTGCTCCTGGCGCACTTCTTCTAGCCCGGGGCACATGTTTTGGGGGGTTCAGCCCCCGAAATCGGCAGAAACCGAAGCAACCAACTTCGAGGTCCTCCAGTCTTGGAGGTTAGAAGAAGTTGGTACCAACTTTTTCTGTCTATGTTAGTAGGGGAACCCGAAAACCCCCCAAAAAAGGTAGAGGAGAGCACTACTGGGCGACCTAGCAACCAGACAGACCTGTCGCCAAAGCCAAACACCTGGCAGCATCTCTAGCATCAGATTACCTGAAGATCAGGCCCGGGACATGGCTTTGCAAGAGCAAACAACCAACCAGCGAATAACCCAAAGAACCAACCAACCATCCAATCGATAATCAACCAGCCCGAAAATCCAGTTGAGAACATCACCATCAAATGCTGACATCACCCGCAAAAAATACAGTGATTCTCCGAAACCCAGTGTCGCGTTTTGGGGGTGATCACATCAGGGGGGAAGCCACTGAACAAACATGGAAAAACATGGGCGGACACCACTGAACTGAGGTGAGCTTGATTCCCAAGTACCGGTTGATTCCCATGTCGGGTGTCTAATAGCGTTTCGGCCAACTTGTTCGCTTGAACCTTTCACCTTTGAAACCTGTTCACCCAAAACAGCCATAATCCACAACTCATACTACAGAGGTCTGCTACGTCTGAGCCATGAATGCCAAGGATATCCGCACCTATTTTTGGCCGGGACTGTTCCTTACTAGCCTTCACTCACCCGGGTTTTGAGCTAGTCGCTCAAATGGTAGGAAGCCCAAAGCTCCCAAAGCCACACCGCAGGAGAAGTTCTTAGAACCTTCTTAGTGACAACCTTTCTGGTAGGACCGATTTTGTCCCGTCCTCATGCAGATCGGTCCAGGAGTCGCTAAAGAGCTGGTCGCTAGCCGCACTCAGCGCCAAGTCCTTCCCGAGACGAAAAGGCGGCTCACCCTTTTGACCTGTTGAACGGGTTCTAAAAAATGGGTGGAGTAAAGGGACACCACTCCTAAAAGAAACTGCGAGAACCTCTCAAGATGCTCATTCTAATCGGGTGACCTACGCGGTGGCATTGCAAGTAGAAAACGGGGCTGTTGGTGATGGACGCACTGGTCTATGGAGCCTGAGCTTTCTGAGACAAGGGGCCTGTGAGCCTGGACTTATTCTAAAAACACCCTACTTCCGAGAAAGACGGACCCTTTCTTTGATAAGGTGGGATTCCCATCACAACCTTGTCACTTTGGGGCATTCCTGGGTTTTTCCTTGGGTTCCTGCACTTGTGGTTTCCCTTACGATCCCGAAACGGCTCATTCCCAGGACCCAAGACCGGCCCCTGAAAAGAATCCCAGATTCCTCCACGAGAACCCTGAATGAATAAACCCTTGGTTGGCTTTGTTCCAGGGGTTACAATAGCAAACCTCACTTCCAGAGTGGATGGCCCAAAAAAGAAAACAAACTGTTTGATTGCCACTAGAAGTTGAGTCCTGGAACTCAGGGAGTGAGGAACCCAAGGTTTGTGAGGGCACCCCCTTCAACCTTGTAGTGGCTTTACCCTCTGGATCACTCTCCCCGCCCGTTCATTCCCTCAGAACCAAGGACCTTCGCCCGAGCTCTCGCGTAAATGTCCTTGAAGTGAGAAGCTTCTTGATTCTCACAAGGGGCATACTTGCAACCAGGCCTTTTTTCTTGGATCCTTTTTTGGGTTAGGTCCCAACCATGGGCACGCGAACCGACAATGAGACTTGATTCCCGACCAAACAAAATTAATCCAAATTCCATGAGACTTGATTCCCGACACAAAACCCCCCCCAAAAAAAAAACACTACCAAACAAACGACTAAGGCGAAATTCTCCTCGTCCAGCTCTTTTCCCCGCTGCTTGATGGCCAGCGACACCTCGTACTCGATCTGGCCTCGGGAAACCGACTCACGTTCAAACGAAAACCCCGTCCAGAACATGTTCCATGGCTGAAAATGGGTCTCGTTCGAACAACCCGTCCAGTTGTATTTTTTTGTGGGACAAAATAAGACTCTTGCTTTGCGGGCTCCTTGATGAGTTGTGTATGACCTCTGATCGGAAACAACTGCTGGACCCCACCGAAACCCCGCCAAAGCTTTGCTTGAGGTACTACCCGAGGCTGCGTGCCAACCAAGGAACCCACCCAGACCTCTCGAGGATTTCCGCTGGAAAAGGCAGTTTTGTACCACCCAGACAGGCCCTGCATGTCTGGGCAGTATCAGTTCCTTTGGGTGTCCCCGTCCAAACTATTCCCCGCTCACTGGCAAAACGTGCACCTTTTGGCAGACCAGAAGCAGCCCAAGTAAGATCAAAGCCCCCTTCAACGGAAGCCAACTAGTTGCAGTCTCTCTTGTGTCAAGCACAAACCAATAGCTTCGGTGTCTCTTTGAGCAACAGCCACATAGCCGACAGGGTTTTGGAAGCCTACCGTCAAGCTGACGTTAATGAGAAACCGGACATCCTGGTCGGAACCAGCATAGTCCATTCAATGACTGGCTCTGCTAAATTTGGGGAACACGCGCATTGGGCATCATGCATGTGTTTCATGGCGTTTCTCCTAGAAACAACAAACTAAACCAAACACGAGATTAGACTATGTGGACACCAAAGAGAGATTGAGAGAGAGGGAGAGAGACGGGAGATGAGGAGTGATGGATGGATTTGTCCCTTTGAACCACCCCCAAAAGGGTACCCACAAAAGAAACCATACATGCCAGAACGTGTTTTGGAACATAATCACTTGACAGTTTCGGACCTTGAAAGTTGCAGACAATGGCTCCTTGATCTGCAGACATACATGAACATCCCAAAACCTCAACCAGGACCCCCAACGACTATAGCTGGTTTTGAACGAAATCGATTTCACCACTGGAGAACGATTCGCAGCAAGCTTTGTTACTTTCCAACCTGTCTGGTAAACCGATTTGCTCATGCTCTTCCAGGGGGCGGAGAAAAAAAAAAAAAAAAAAAACAGGAAAACAAACAAAACAAAAAAACGGGAAAAAAAAGCGCCAAGGGACGCCCCCCAGGCTGGGCCCTGGGCCCTGGGCTTCGCTGTCCAAGGGGCGGTAGAGGAAGGACCAGGACTCCGCCCAGGCGATCACCTGATCCTTCCGCCCCGGCGCCTGGCCCGGGGCCCGGCCGAACGCGTCGTTGTTCCACGGGTTGATTCAACCATCGTTCTTGTCAACAATCCCCAAAAGGCGGGGGTATCCGGGAATCCAATTTACAAAAAATGGGGCCGTGGTTCAGAAACAGGGGGGGGCTCAACAAATTCTAGGGGTTTACGGTTTATTCCGATTCCAGTCTTTTCAACCAACGTTCTTTTAAAAAACCGGCTGTTTCCCAGGGTTTTGGGTGGTTTTTGAGAAATAATGATGCCTGAAAAGAATGGGACAGGTTCCCCTAGTTGTGTCTTTTTTTCGAGGCGACGTCGTGCACGGATGGCGATAGCGGGAAACCGAAGCAACTTGCGATGGTGTGTAGGGTTCATTCCATTTCTCATTCCCTGCCTATCGCATCGGAATGAGCCGGTTTGGGGAGTTGATGTTAAAGGAAACCACAAGTTGAACGAGAGGTAGCAAATCAGAAATGAAATGAGCCGGTTTTGGGGAGTATTTGTTGAAGGAAACCACCAGTTGGATGGTTTAGTTCGGGGTCATTCCATTCTCATCCCTGCTGAGAACCAGCAAGACAAGACCACACTGAGTGTCAGACACTGAGGGAAACTACAAGAGAAGCCGAACACGTGGATTGAACATGTTGGTGTGTGAAATGATTTCGAGCGGGGGCTCTTTGGACAGAATCTCACTTCCGATCGAGTGGATGGGTTAAAAGAAGTCCAAACTGTTGCAGTGCCACTAAAATGGTCCAACCCTCCCCCCAAAAAACATAACATGTCCCAAGAACTCAGAAAGTGAGGCTTGAGCCACAAACCCCGATTGGGCCCAGTCTCCTTTTGTTTCTTCCATACCAAGAGGGACTGACCTCGAGGAAACATGAGCCGCCTCCAGGAATTAGGTTCCAGAAATGGCATGGCCGAAAACGGTGGGAATCTGCATTGATGTCCTGTCTAATCAACCCCAAAAGGTTGCCCTTACAAAAGTCATACCCACATTGGGTGTTTCTCAAAAAAGGGGACCCCTTTCCCTTTTTTGGATGATGTTGAAAGGAAACCATGAGGAGACTGACCTTGAGGCGTTCCCAATGTTGAGAAACCCACACATATTGCAAATGACCATTTTGCATGAGACTCTCGCATCAAATCGGCAATCAAAACACGGCAGCCAAGTCCTGGCCCAACAAACAAAACTGACCAACATTTGAGGCCAAATCGAAACCTGTTATTAAAATGGTCTACCTAGAACTATGAGAGAATTAAGAAGGCGGCTGCACCCATTTATGGTTGGGACTATTCCTTAGTAACCTTCATCTACCCGGGATTTGATAGTGGTTCGTTTGACCAAACAAACACTGATTGCACCAGGGTGAAAGTAGATGGCACAATTCCCTTTGTGGAAAGGGGATGACCAAACATGACCAAACCCGAACGGGTTGGAATTGTTTCCTTCTACTTTCACTCACCTATGAAATGAGGAACAAAGGAAACTCAAAAGAGGCGAAACAAAAACATGCGATCAAGTTTGGACTTGCTCACCACGCCATGGACCTTGACAACAAAAAACGAAGCGCCCACGCGGCCTTGGTGAGCGCCTTGATCTGCGTCATGAAGCCTTACTTGCCAAGAACTGGGGCCAAAACTTGCAGCAAACAAACACAAGCAACACAAACAAACAAACCAGCATTCCAAAAATGACGTTGCTTCCTTTCGATTCTCTTGCAAGCCACTCCAAAAAGGGGCACCCCTCAAAAACAAGCTGCACATCCATGCAAGCCTTTTTCGGAACTCGTTTCGAGCACAAAGTCCCTTTAAATCGGTCTCCGCCTGGCCCGAGGCTTATCTTTCGGGGAGGCTTTCGGCCAGGAGCCGTCGACCAGCTCCGCGTCCAAGAAGGCCTCCTCCAAGATGCAGCGGGCGCAGGTGCAGTGAAACTCGTAGGTGGCACCTGCCGTGTTTCGGTTTCGGTCTCCGTTTCCGTTCCGCGGCTTCGGCTTTGCGGGGGAGGGGGTGGTTTGAAATGCAGGGTAAGGAGTTAAACGGATGCGCAACGGAAGAGAGACAACAAAGAGGTCCAATCCCAAGAGTAGCGGAGAAAATAATTAGTGCCGGGAAAGACAAGGCCGATTCGTTTTGGCAAGTGCGACTAGGCTTTGCTAAAGGTCCACGAAACACAAAAACAAAAACATTAAAGAGTAGGGGGTTGGCTGATCACAAAGCAACTCATCCAGGGCGACCGAATGCATGTACGCTTTCTGAACATCTTCCACGGAGCGTCTTCCCTCTAAAAGGGAACCCTGTTAAAGGGTCCTGGCTTAGAGCATTTTCCGGCAAAAGGGACCCTGTATTTGGGGTCCAGGTAGATTCCAACAAGCCGTTACTTCCACCCCCTGGACTTTCGACAAGGGAACCCTCACTTCCAACCAGCAGAAAGTTCCCTGTTGGAACTTGGTTTTCCCAGGGCCTCTTTTCCCAAGCAAATCTGGTCTCCACAGTCACAGTGAGCCGCTCTTTTGGGGCATTGATCTCATGCTAACATCAACCAAGAAACAGGCGCTGGAGAGCTCATGGGCCTCCACGTTTTGCAAGCAGGACAAGGCATTTTGGTGAGGGGTGAATGTGCGACATACCCTTCAAACATCTTCCCACAGGCCAGGGTCAACCCCTGCTCCCACATTCAATCCTGGTAGTCGCTTCCCCCTAAGCTGGTACTAACCCCCCCAATACATGTTCGCTGGGGGTCAAACGATATGATATGATATCAACTCGGTAATTCGCGGTCAACTTGGGCTCCCCCAGAAGCAAATGTACTTATGCCTTGAAACGTGCCCAGATTCTAACTTTGCAAAAAGGGTGTAGCACAAACTTTGAATTGTTGGTCAGCACAGAGGCATGCGAGAAAGGGAACCCTTTGTTTACCCCTTGTTTGAAAACCAAAAACCACCTTGAGGGTTGATTGGGTTACTTTACAAGGCAACAACAGCCGTTCACATACCTGGCACGGCATTCAAAGCCGAAGTATTCCTACCATCAACACGAAGACGAGCGGCACTTCATACAATTCACAAGGAAGGCCAAACCCATTTCGTTGCAGTAAACAAAACACAAAACCACACACTAACATTTACAAACACGGCAAACACCAAAGGCAGAAAACAAGCGGATCAACCACACAGAAACCAGATGGATTTGAAGGGAATCAGTAGAACAAAGACATACAGCGGAACAATTGAAGAAACACTATCACGGCCTTACGCAACTTCTGAGAACTTATTGGCTCTCTTTTCAAAAACAACATTGGACAGCCGTAGCACCTCAGCTCCCCTCCACACAGCAGCTAGAAAACCAAGCAGAACAAAACATGCGCACACACACAAAAGCACATAAACACATGATTCAAAATCAAAAAAAAGAAGATGACAACATAAAACAAGGACAACCAGAGGGGGAAATCCCGAGACAAATCAAAAGCAAGCAATATACCAAAAGCATAAAGCAGGAAGCGAAGGAACACCAGAGCGAAAGCCACTTAGGGGGTGAATCGGGCCCAAAATGAAGAATGGGTAACTTTTCCCATGCGGGACATATATGTGGTTTTCAAACTCATTGACATCTACTTTTAGTGGTTTTCCAAGCAATGGTAATGTCCTAGCGGGTTTTCCCATGGTCATCCCATCTTCATCTGACCTTGTGATCAACCCCCATAATGTTGACCCCCTATCAACCCCGGTTTATGAATGGGGGTCCCGGTGTCCCTGCCTTTAGTGCGAAATCAAACCACTCTTGGAGGGGGCCCCACCCCCTATAACTAAATCAGACCACTGTGTACTGTGGGAGGGGCCCCCCCACCCCCCTACAACTAAACTGGAGGGCCACCCCCCGCATCAATAAACTGCGGTTGATAAATCTGGGGTCAATATCAACTCGGTTGCTTTCTGCTCCCCTGCTAAAAGTTTTACTTTTAGTGGTTTAATTCGGAAACCCCAGTAGTTGCCAAAAAGGACGCCTTCAGACCAGCCCTCCCCACCCCAACTCCAAGACTCCAAGGCGCTGAGCTCGCTGCGTCGCTGCCGCAAGGGCCGGTCCAGGCGCACGTAGCTCGCGAAGAGCTCCTCCCCGGCCTGCGGGTAGTTGGGCTCGAAACGAGGCGCAACCAAAACCGTTTTTTGGTTTTCCCAACCCCGAGCAGGGCTATAGGTTTCAAGGGAAGCACGTGAGAGCCAAGGAAGCCAAAGGGAGAACCTGAGTCGCAAACCAAAACCCGGTACTAAAACGGTCGTAATCCCAGACCCATGTAAAGCAAATGCCTGGTGAGGATGGTCAGTCATAATCAAAACCCGGTGCTCAAAATCCAGAAAAACCCCTAGTGAACATTAAAATGGGTGGCAAATGGATGTTCATCCACCCCAAAATGGAGCCATAGGTTATGCCCCATGGCCAAATGGTCTACCCAGAAACATGTAAGGAATTAAGAAATTGTCCGCTGCTATTTCTGGCTGGGACTGCCCCTTACTAACCTTGATTGTGGCTCAAATGGGCCTTTCACCAAAGGAAGCCTTTCAGGTGGTTGGCGTCCTTTCCTTTTCCCTCCGCTCGAAATCTGGACATCTGTGATGTGATACGTGGTTGGTGTCGTTTTTCCCTCCATTCGAAATCTGTGATGTGGATGGGTGCGAAATCCATTTTTTCGCATCACAGTGCAGAAGCCCTGGTTTCTGATGATTCCCCAACGTGTACAAAATTGCTTGAACCATGCTTTTCAAGTGGTGCAGGATTTCGTCCATCCACGGTACTGTGACACCAAGATGTCCATCCCCGTAGCTATAGTATCATGTTGAAGGTATTCCTGTAGTATCGCAAATAGTGAGCCAAAAACGATTTTCCACCACCATGTACCCATTACCAATGTGTGCAGGCAACAAATGACGATCTGTGTCAAACATGTTGTTGAAGGAAAATGTGGTATCACAAATAGTGGCCCTATAACCGCAGTGTCTGCTTCATGCGGCCAAGCTGACAAGGGCATTCCCTTGATGCTACTCGAAACAAACAAAGCTTGGACGAATCATCAAGGCTTTGGGACAAGAAACGCCATGAAAAAAAAGGCACTCGTTTTTAGGTAGTTGATTTTAAACCCACAGCTCTCTCAGAAAAGGAAGAAATTGCACCACGGGAAGTCTGGGCATAGCTGCGAAGTTAGTACATACCCCCTTTCTATGGTCTTTTTAAGCCCTTCATTTCTCCAGAAGCTGAACCTTTCCTTGAGACAGGGACAACACTGACAAGATATCTACAGATTGTAGCGCACTCACTCACTCACTCACTCACTCACTCACTCACTCACTCACTCAGTCAGTCACTCACTCACTCACTCACTCACTCACTCACTCACTCACTCACTCACTCACTCACTCACTCACTCACTCACTCACTCACTCACTCAGTCACTCAGTCACTCAGTCACTCAGTCACTCACTCACTCACTCACTCACTCACTCACTCACTCACTCACTCTGTCACTCAGTCACTCAGTCAGTCACTCAGTCAGTCAGTCACTGAGTCACTCAGTCACGCACTCACTAACTCACTCACTCACTCAGTCAGTCACTCAGTCACTCAGTCACTCAGTCACTCAGTCAGTCAGTCACTCAGTCACTCAGTCACTCAGTCACTCACTCACTCACTCACTCACTCAGTCAGTCACTCAGTCACTCAGTCACTCAGTCACTCAGTCAGTCACTCAGTCACTCAGTCAGTCACTCAGTCACTCAGTCAGTCACTCAGTCACTCAGTCAGTCAGTCACTCAGTCAGTCAGTCACTCACTCACTCACTCAGTCACTCAGTCACTCAGTCAGTCACTCAGTCACTCAGTCAGTCACTCAGTCACTCAGTCAGTCAGTCACTCAGTCACTCAGTCACTCAGTCAGTCAGTCACTCAGTCACTCAGTCAGTCACTCAGTCACTCAGTCAGTCAATCAGTCACTCAGTCAGTCAGTCACTCAGTCAGTCACTCAGTCACTCAGTCACTCAGTCACTCACTCACTCACTCACTCAGTCAGTCACTCAGTCACTCAGTCAGTCACTCAGTCAGTCACTCAGTCAGTCAGTCACTCAGTCACTCAGTCAGTCACTCAGTCACTCACTCACTCACTCACTCACTCAGTCAGTCACTCAGTCACTCAGTCACTCAGTCAATCAGTCACTCACTCACTCACTCAGTCAGTCAGTCACTCAGTCACTCAGTCACTCAGTCAGTCACTCAGTCACTCAGTCAGTCAGTCACCCAGTCACTCAGTCAGTCACTCAGTCACTCAGTCACTCAGTCAGTCACTCAGTCAGTCAGTCACTCAGTCACTCAGTCACTCAGTCAGTCAGTCACTCAGTCACTCAGTCAGTCACTCAGTCACTCAGTCAGTCAGTCACGCAGTCACTCAGTCACTCAGTCAGTCAGTCACTCAGTCACTCAGTCACTCAGTCACTTAGTCACTCAGTCAGTCACTCAGTCACTCAGTCACTCAGTCAGTCACTCAGTCAGTCACTCAGTCACTCAGTCAGTCACTCACTCAGTCAGTCACTCAGTCAGTCACTCAGTCTCAGTCACTCAGTCAGTCACTCAGTCAGTCACTCAGTCACTCAGTCAGTCACTCAGTCAGTCAGTCTCAGTCACTCAGTCAGTCACTCAGTCACTCAGTCAGTCACTCAGTCACTCAGTCACTCAGTCAGTCACTCAGTCAGTCACTCAGTCACTCAGTCAGTCACTCAGTCACTCAGTCAGTCACTCAGTCAGTCTCAGTCACTCAGTCAGTCAGTCAGTCACATCAGTCACTCAGTCTCAGTCACTCAGTCAGTCACTCAGTCAGTCAGTCACTCAGTCAGTCACTCAGTCAGTCAGTCACTCAGTCACTCAGTCACTCAGTCACTCAGTCAGTCACTCAGTCACTCAGTCACTCAGTCAGTCAGTCTCAGTCACACAGTCAGTCAGTCACTCAGTCACTCAGTCAGTCACTCAGTCAGTCAGTCAGTCACTCAGTCACTCAGTCAGTCAGTCTCACTCAGTCACTCAGTCACTCAGTCACTCAGTCAGTCACTCAGTCACTCAGTCAGTCAGTCAGTCAGTCAGTCACTCAGTCACTCAGTCACTCAGTCACTCAGTCAGTCAGTCACTCAGTCAGTCACTCAGTCAGTCACTCAGTCAGTCACTCAGTCAGTCACTCAGTCACTCAGTCAGTCACTCAGTCACTCAGTCACTCAGTCACTCAGTCAGTCACTCAGTCACTCAGTCAGTCACTCAGTCACTCAGTCAGTCACTCAGTCACTCAGTCAGTCACTCAGTCACTCAGTCAGTCAGTCACTCAGTCACTCAGTCAGTCAGTCACTCAGTCACTCAGTCAGTCAGTCACTCAGTCACTCAGTCACTCAGTCACTCAGTCAGTCAGTCAGTCAGTCACTCAGTCACTCACTCACTGAGTCACTCAGTCACTCAGTCACTCACTCGTCTTAACAGCTTCGATGCTGCCAGGCGCGTGCATGTGATGATTTCAGATTATAGACAAGCCTGCAATCTTTTCCACATAGGGCCAGGGCATCTAGGTCCTCCAGAGGTTAGATTAAGTTGGTGCCCTTTTTTTGTAGCCCAATTTACTAGGGGAACCCTCCGAACCAAAAAAACAAGGGGCGAGAAAGGGCACCTAGCTGGGGGACCTAGGCATGCCAGGCCTAGGGGAAACTCGAACATCTCTAGGGGACAATTCCATTTCCATTCTTTCCAGGGATCCGAATCTTTTCAGAAAACCAGAAATACCCCAGGTTGGAAACAGCGATCGGTTGAAAAGAACGATGGTTGAAAAGACTGGAATCGGACTCAACCCCTAGAATTTGTTGAACCCCCCCTGTTTCTTAACCACGGCCATTTTGTTTTGTAAACTGGACACCCCGCTTTCTTGGGATTTTGTTGAATCAACCCCTAGAACCTCCTCACTGGTCACTGGACGCCTTGGGCAGTCTCCGCCCCGCCTCACCCTCCCCGCCTTCATCTTCCTCGTGGCGCGGCACAGCAACAGGTCCCCCACAAAGGTGAAGTTCACGTTGGGCCTGGCGTCCGGGAGCCCAAAACAGGGCCAAAGAATTCTTGGAACGTAGTGAACGCGGGAAATGTGAATTATGACCATTGATAACGTTGTAATGGTGCATGATGTTCGTAACAAACATTCAATGATCATGATTAAACGTGAAGTAAAGTACCCCCACACTCCATTCTGATGACTTAGCCCCTGAAGGCGAACCAGTTTGGGCGAGCGGTTCTGGGGTGTGGTCTCAGGAAAATTGTCCGGAGAGCTCGTGGACACTTGCAGCCTTCAGGTTTGACAATCACTGGGCAAGGCTGGCCTCTGAACTCGCTCAAATGGGTGCGTCTGGCTTGGTTCAGAGAAAGCCAAAGGACAGCCGCAACTTTGGGAGTTCCCTAAATTTGCCAGACGCAAAATCACAAATCTAGCTGTGCCTCTCCCTTCAATCCCTTTCAAATGGGCCTAATTTAAAAAATGGGGATCAGGGTGGCACAGCCCAATAGAGGGCAACCAGGCAAAGCCCGAGCAAACTTCTGCCCAGTGTTGGTCATTACGTAGGGGACTTGAAGGGAACGCTAGAGCAGCCCCAAAACTTCCCATGCTGCAAAGCGGGTACATTAAGCCCAGCCCCAAGTTGAAAAGAACGTGGCGTCTGCCCCCATTTGCATCTACTCAACTGTTGGTTGCCAGGCCCAGGGTTGCTGCCGCAGCTTCGGACAACTCAAACTTGCATTGGATTCTGGTCGTCGCAAAATACGGTCATTTGAACGGTCCAGTTTGGGGGTTTGCGGAGAGAGTTTACCTTCAGTTTCACTCCCTCGCGGTCGTCACTGGTCGTGTCCTTTTCGGAATTCGGGTTTCCGCCCAGAACCTAGCTACCAATTGAACACAAATAATATCTGATTTAAGACAACCAAGATAACCACAAATAATACCTGATTGAATTAATTCTGGAAATTAGGACAACCAAAAAGAACACACTGGCCCCCAATACTACCATTCCATCCTCGGAATCATCCGGGTGGGTTGAGGAGTCCTTGCCTCATTCAAGGCCCCCACGTTGACAACACATGCCATATATATATATACATATCATTAAGTCATTTGTTTCATATATATATATATATCATTACGTCATTTGTTATTTTGGACATAGTTGGGGTTGCTTTTATAAACGGTCGCTTTCCTGATTCAGAACCTAGTGACTGTGTCGAGAGTCGCTTGAATAAGACTTTTTCCCCGGGAAGAGCATCCGGGCAAAATAAAACAAACACATACCGGATCAAAGCCTTCGTCTTTTACTTTAAAGGCTGGTTTAGCTTATCTAAGCGATTGCAGCTAAAGGCCTTACTTGGACTTAGGATTTTCTGGTGTTGAAGTGGTCCCCAAACCATCGAGTCTTGTATCACCCTTTATGTTAAAACACACAAGGCCAAAAGTCACGCACAGAGGGTGGTTTACAAGAACCCCTGATCCTCTTCAATCCGACTGTTTTGGGGTCCGACGGAATGTCAAATCTTTTTTGGGTGGGCGTGAAATCCCAGATCAAAGGGCAGTCCATAGAGCAGTGTATCTACCAATTCCTGTTTTCAAAGTGCTTTGCAACCCATCGATTCTTATATTGATCCGTGAAAAAAATATTACACGTATGTATATATCATAATCTGTACAGTACAAAAAAGCAGGACAGTCACGCAAATAAATCCCCACAAGTAGTTGGCTGAGGCTTTGATCTTGGAATTTCACACCGACCGAACAAATTTGACGTGGAAGCTGGCCCCAAACAGTCAGAGTAAAGCGGATCAAGGGCTACTGTTTTAAAGGGGTCGCGTATCTGAGATCTGGAAGTCTGAGATTGAGTCTCGGCAATACAAAGATGAGACTTGGCAATTCTTAACTAAGAGCTGGGAATCCAAGCCCCCCCCCCCCCCCGACTGGCGGCGCCGTTCACGGGAGGCACAATATTGGCAAGTCGAGGTCTAACTTACCCCGCCCCTTGTCCCACCAAAGAGGGCCCGACTGATTGTTGGCACTGTTTTGCGGGGAGTCATTCTTACGGCAAACCAGAGCTGTGGGAAATGGAATCCACTTCTTGAGGGTCTAACCAGAAGTGACTGAAGTGGGCATAACCCCCCTGATCCCACAACCCTGCGGCATGGCGACATGCTTTTTGATTTTTCTCGCAGCGCTCCCCGGTCGCAGAGGCGCCCCAACCCCTGCGACCTGCCGACCCGCCTGCAGGAGTGGTTCACAAAAGCCGCGAGCGGCCACAGCCCGCTGAGCTCGCTGGAGAGCTCGCCGTCCACACACGCCCAGCGGTGGATGGCGTTGAACTGGAGGGTCCTAGCGCAATCTGCTAGCAGCTTGATTGGGAGTTCAAGCCACTGGGGGTTGCAATCAAGGTTGTAAACTTCTAGCCTACATTACCCCAGATCAAATCCATGGTTGAAACTTACTTACTAAGTTGGTATGATCGTGAACGGACACCTCCTAACATCCAAGGCAGTGGCAAATGCAAAGACTCAAAAAAAACGAAGGCCCCATCTTAATGGCAAGGTGTCGACGCCAAACCACCACCTCTCAGGCCCGTCATGCCAGATGACATCGTAATGCTGGTTGCCTGAGGTCAGATCGCCCGCAGAGTCACACATATTGATGCATTTCAATCTTCGCTGCAACACCCCCAGCTCGCGACACACGGCATCAAGTATGTCAGCTGGCATTGTTGAAAAGCTTAGTTGTCCAGTGTCGTACTAGAAACTGCTAGCCTGTATCCCTATCAGCCGGCTTGTTCCCAAATCGCTTGGGAAAAGCATGTTTCCTCTGTCTCACCCCAACTGCCTGGGAAAAGCTCAACCCCGACTCCCACTGGCAATGCCTTTGTTTTCTGGCAGAACTTGTGAAACATAGCTTGCATCATCCCTGAATGAGATGCAACTCCTTTCGCTGGACGATATGTCGTCAATAAACCCCTCCGTCCGCTTTGTCTGGGTCGGCCCTAAGGGCGATTGATGGCTTCACAAGGGCAGCCCCAGCGATGGCTTCGTGGACAAATGGGCTCCAAGGTAGCCGGATCAACATCAGCGAGCACGGCTTGAGCTCCGAGGTGACCAGTTTAACATTCAGGTTTGCATGGACTGGCGCAACACCCCCTCTTCATAATTGAGGGTCAACAGTTTCCTCCCAGCCTTTTTCCCGGATTTCCCATCGGTCATGCAAACAAAAGGGGCACCTTTCTTGGTGGCTGATGTTGTAAGCGAATCAGCTCAAAAAAGGAACAAACAGAAAACAACACTGCATGTGTTCTAAAGAGGAGCTGAACAAAAATTACCAGATTCCCCCATGATCATGAGGTAAGGTGGTCATATAGCTAGTAGGCTGGAAAAGGACACCTGTTTGCCAGGTCGCGGCAGAATACAAAAAGAGGCCTGCTCTTAAGCTTGAGGGGGCTGTCCGGTTGGTGCATTGCAACGTCAGGAAGGCTCCAACTCAAAAGGAAACGGCACAACACACTGTCCAAGGCTACTACTTTTTGTTGGTCTTGATAAGGAAAACCAACAGAGTCAGCCACATTGTATTTTTCCCTTTTAGTATTGTTGCTGCTTTTGTTTCTTTGGGGGGGTCCCTTCTAAACAAACAACGACACACTCATTTGGCTGTGGCTCAAAAACATGCATGATACCAAAATGGCACCTTGGTGAATGGAACCAAAGACTAAAACCTGCGGTTTGCCCTAGCTCTTTCGTTTTGAGCCACGCGATCTTTCTCGTTTTGTATTGTTGTCGCTTTTGTTTCTTTGGGGGATGTCCCTTCCAAACAAACCTCTGCCAAGCGCCGCAATGGGGTGTCCCTTCTAAACAACAAAGACACACCCATTTCTGGGCTGCCCTCAGATCTCCCGGCTAAAAGTTCAACTCTGAGTGGTGTAAATGGAAAAATATCACTAAGCACAAGGCTAAAATAATTAGCTGAGGAACCGGACTGGGAGCCACCAAGAAAGCAACTGTTTGTTTGACACCAACCGAATTGCCGCCTTTCACTTGAAATAATTTCACCCCAATTGGCTCTCCCAAGACTTTGGGAGCCCTCCAATTGGCTTCGAGGGCGCGGATCGCTCGAGTCCTCCGCAGCTCGGCCTCCGAAAGCCGCGGAAGAGTCTCGGGCAGCCGCTGGTCGTCGCCGCCGTGGAAAAGGCCACGCCTAAACCAAACGGATTCAAAGGAATTTGTTGGGGGTTTAGGCGTTTTAGGAATTTTGGGAATCTTAGGAGTTTCATGGATATTTTAGGAATTGCAACTAGGAATTTTCGGAATTTGAGGAGTTTTATGAATTTTAGGAATTGCCATGTCCTTTTGGTAAAATGCGGCCCTACTGAATTATGACCTATTGGTGAAACGTAGATGGGGTTCCCTGGTAAATGGCATGTGAATTTTAGGGCTTAGGAATATTAGGAATTTTAGGAAATAGATGGGTTGCCCTGTTTTCATGGGGCATAATACCAATCTAAACCAGATTCGAATCTATTTCTAAGCAAACTCACCCAGAAAGGCCACCTATGCTTCAGCTTCCTTCCAATTGAGCTTGTCTTTTGTTGAGGCTTGGTACCCGTTTGGGGCTTGGGAAAAAAAGGGAAACCACAAAGGATACCTTTCACTTTGGAGTCCCCTGTTTTAAGACACACCCAATTGGTGGTTTGATCGGCAGTTGGCTTAGGGGGTGGTTCCCATGTTCCCTCTACAAAAGCCGGGTGTTCAAATCTCCCTTAATCCAAAGCACAAACTAAGGGTTGTCTGATACTTCAAGGTGCCTTTGGCAACCAGGTTTTTTTTGTGTATCCATTTCGGGGATTTACAAATATGGTAAATGCCCTGCGTGTCCCTTTCGGGCGGTTTTAAACGGCATCCTTTGGCATCCAACAGGAGATCAGCCAAACAGTTCGGGGCGTGGTGCCGAAGTTGCGCCCGACGGCTCAATCGTTGAGGGGAGCTCTTTGCGGGGCCTGGGACCTTTTGGATGCTCCTTTGGTTTCCTATTGCTGGCACTCGTTTAGCACTTTGGGTTGGGCTGCTACCGGGATTGTCGCTATGTTACCAGGTGGGAGGGTAGCTTGCACTTCCTGAGTGGATGGGCCAAAGCATGTGTTTCTTGGCCACTAAAACGGCCTTCCCAAAATATGCGAAGTCCCGGAATGTCCCGGAACTCATGGTGTCATGGAGGAAGCGCTACCCCCGCTCCAAACACCCATTTTTATAGGGCATATACCAGGTGTTCCATGGTACTCCTGTTATCTCCATGCCCAAACCGAGGGACATTTGGAGCACCTCGAATTGGTGGGAGCCGAATCCGTGGCTGGGTGAAACGGATAAATTTCCCATGTACCTTCCACCGCTTCTACAAGAACCAGGGGCTCACATCCCAAGCCACCAATCCAAACCAAGTAATGTTGACCCCGGATTCATAAGCCCCAGTTTATTCATATGGGAGTGTGTCTGGTTTTTGGGGATTTATCACTTTTGCATTCATAAGCCCCAGTTTGTTAATATGGGGGTGTTTTTTGTTTTTGGGATTCAGACCACTTTTGGAGGGAACACCCCCATATTAACATGATTAAGAGTTAGGCCCAGTTATACAATGTATATCTTATTGTTTGCTTCAGATTGAGTCACTGGTAAAATGTAAAATGTATCCTAAGTCCACCCCAGTCAATAAACAGGGGTTTATAAATCCGGAGTCAACATTGGAGGGAAGCTGCCCTGCACTCGGCCTCCGATCCGAGGCGCGGCGCGTCCCGAGAGTCTCGGAGCTTGACGCTGGCGGCGTGAAGCAGCGAGGGAAACGGCTGCAGGACCCAGGCCTGCGCAACTGAAATACAAGCGGAAAAAAACGTGGGCATATAGAAAAACTCGGTTGCGAAATCTGCTCCCCTGAGAAAAGTGACTCACTTTTAGTGGTGCAATTCGGAAAACCCACTGGTTGGCAAAAAGTTAAAGTCCTAACATCCAAGCAAAATGCACCAAAGGAAAGAAACTGCAAGGGTTGTGGCATACTCCTACTATATAGCACACATATACAAGGGATAATTGGCTTTTAAGTACTGATGTTGTAATTCATTTGGACAAAACACGATCTAAAAACGGTCTAAACAAATACACCAGGAGTTTGAGGAATCAGGCAATTCAGCGCAGTTCACAACCCAGAAGTGAGGAACTCTCACAACAACGGGTCATATCGGTCCATCATCATGAGCAAGCGCCTTATCCTCAGGTGAGCTCGCTATACTTAGCGCATGCGAGGGGTTGGAAGGTTGTCCACCTATGAATCACACGGTCAATCTGCACTGTTTCCGTCAACCTTGTAAAATCAACCTATTCAGGAAAAATCCTTGTTGGGGGGAGGGGTCGGGAGTTCTTCATCAAAGCTTGTCACTGCATAATTTGTAAGGCACCTCTCAATGGGTAAGCTAATGTTTCAGGTAAGCCTCATAGAGGTGTCAGGAGCCACACTCAGGAAGCTGGGGAGAGCCAAACAAAAGAGGCCCGCAAAAGGAGTAGGTGGGGGGGGGGGCAAAGGGGGCGGGGGGAAAAGCGGGCGCTGGGACCTGAAAAAAATCGCTTCACTTCGGCGCTGGGCTATGCTCATTCTCCAGGGCGAGAGTTTTGGCGCCCTCCAGTTCCATAGTCTGCACCCAGGGAATCTGGGTACAGAAATAGAGATCTCCAGGTTGAAAACCCCTGCTTCAAGGGGTTCACTCCACTTGCTAGGTCGAAACCAACAATAAAGAGGGGCCTCTCGGTGTGGAGCCCGGAGCCCCCCCCTCCTTTAGCCCCCCCCCCTTTAAGCTTAAAGGGCGTCTCTTGCAGGGGAGGCTTAGGAAGCCTTGCGGAAGCCTTGGGGAAGCTTTGCCCGGCCTTAAAAGCAGGAACACTAGGGAGGCTCTTGGGGAACCGTGAAAAGCTGATTGGACAAGAAATACTGCCCCGAATCTGCTGGGAAGGGACCCTTAGGGAAGCCTTAAAACCTTGGAGAAGCCCTAGAAAAGCCTTAGGAAACCTTGGGGAAGCATGTTTGCGGAAAGCTTGGGAGGACGCAGCTCTTTCAGAAAGAGCAATTCGAATCTCTTATGAGTTCCCTAGGATAGGGGGACGCAGCAAAGCAACGCAGCTCGAATCTCCAATCAAATCAAGGGGTCTCTTAGGTTCAGCTTCGGAAGGCTTAGGGAAAATGCTGATATGTCAGCTTCCTAGCCATCCTAGGAATAGGACCCAACTAGCTGACGGGGGGGAGGGGGGAGGGCAGGGGGGGTACAGACATTCATAATCTCAACAAAGAAAACACAACCAAGCAGGCTCGTGTCTTCAAATTCCAGGGAAACCAACTTGAAACTTAGGTGGAGCCCCCTGGAGCCCCTGTAAAATCCCTGCTGAGTGACCCTTGTAGAAAGCTGGAACCCTTTTTGGCGTCGACCAATTTTAGTGGCACCGCCAAGCCAAACATAAATTCAGTTGGTGGAATCCAGTAAGCAACCAGGATAAGTATCAGCGTCTGGACCACGTGAGGTATGGTCCAGATTCCGCCGTGAACATCGGAAACTCGTGGTTCCCCCAGTTGTGGAAATTGATCGAGCAGTCGGAATGTGCGGCAGTCGCTTCATTCGCCAAGAGGGGGGGGGTTGTACTCTTGGTTTTGTGCAAGGGAACCCCCCCGCCTTTTAAAAGCAAGGCAACCTATTGGGCTTGGCCCATGCGCAGGGTACACCCTAAACCCTTCCGAAAACCGCCGTGGAAGCTGCTCCAAAGCAGGACATTTGGGCAAAGACCTCCAAGCTTTCAGAAAAAAGGGGGAAGAAATCAGACCCCAATAATTGGACGCCCTCCAAAAACCCATGAATCAAGGGCATGCTGGTGAGGGAACCAGGAAAAATCTGAAGGCTCCTTGTCCACAAAGAGGAGTTCCCCGATCTCCACATCCTGGCACACCTGAAAGCATCCCAATTTCGAATGAAGAATTCACCGGCAAAGTCTACAACCCGAAGCATCACTGGACCCTGAATTGGAGGAGTCTGGATCTCCAAGGGTTTGTATCCCAGAAAGGCCTCTGGTTGTAGTCCAAAGATTTTGAGGAAACCCCCAAACCTGCGATCAGGTATCCCCTGAAGGACCTAAATGGTGAGCTCGTTCCAGCCCCACATCGGTGAGATCGCAATGAAACCGGCACAATGCGGTGTGATTCCAGTGTTTTTTCCAGTCTCTCAAGTCCTGGTGAGCAAAAGTCCTAGCTTGCTTGCCACGAAACTGGCACCAAAAGGTGTAAACGAGGTCCAGGATCGAAGATGGGGAAGTCATTAGTAGTCAAGGGCAGCTAGTGGCTGTGACTAGTTTCATTCGGTTAGACTGATTAGACATATTGTTCGTGCCTTCATGAAACAAGCAGCAAGCTAGTGGCAACGTCAGGGCTAGGCTTTAATAACGCCTGGATCCGGGTGCCCTCAAAAGTGCCGCCTTTGGCTTTGATTCCTGGGCAGGTGGAAGAATGGGAACTGGTACATGTGTTCCCTGGACCAATTGTGCTTTGGATGCAATCGAAGGTCTGGGTGAGACATACGGTTTGTTCACCCCTTCTGAATCAAGTATATGAGTGCGTCTTTTAGGGGACCCTCTAAAATGCAGGTTTTCCTTTTGGTTTCCCATTTAAAATCACCAAAAAAGGGGTACCCGAACAAAAGACTGGTCCATATAGTCAAGGTGAACAACGTCATGGTTGTGGGACATGATCTCCTTTCTGTGATGTCAGTACAAAACGGAAGCAAACAAGTTCACGCATCTGCAACAAGGGGTAACGGACCTTCATGGTGAAATAGTCTCGAGCCTTTCCTTTCCGAAAGGGAAACCACCCCTGGCTTGCACTGTCCTCTAGATTAATCCGAAGCTATTGGGAAAGCGGGAAGTCTTCGCCCACATCTAGGTACAAGAATGCAAATCAGGTTCTGGCACCTTTTTAGTCCACCCTTAAATAACAAATCAGTATAGAGGAGACCGCAGAAATGGTGCCATCCATTTTGCTCATGTTGAGTTAGAAACGCTGTCAGCTCCGAGTTGCCACCAGTCCACGTCCCTTGCAAGTGGAGACTGTCATGCGCACCGGCTTGCTGTAGCCTACCAGAACACCAAACTCGAAACGCAGACCGGGACCAGGACCTCCCAAAGGCTATCACGTGGGTTGCTAAGTGACCTTCCATAAGGGCGATTTTGGGGCTGCCATTCGTCGTGGAAGGCGAGGGGCACAGCGGCTCACTCGTCAGAGCTTGCCACCCTATCACTCCCCCGGCACGTTTCCATACATGAAGGGCCCTTTAATGTTGACCAGGGAGTAGACCCAAGATGCACAAACCCAGCAGAACTAATGCAAAACAACGTTGCGTTTCTGCAAAAGTGAAGGCTCGTTCATGAATGGGAACCCGCATTTTGCTTCCTTCCTGGTTCAAGATTCATGCCTACCTGTCAACCTGCCAATTCCGAAACTGCAAGGGTGGCGCCAATCCGCGTCAAGTCCGATAATTGGACTCTTGGGGAAGTCGGGTGGCTCCCTTTGGAGGATCCATGCGAGCTACTGCCAAACTCAAGCGATAAAGCTCTAAATCTAAAGCGTTTCCCCAGCAAAACCGACAGGGTTCCCAACACAAATGCCCTTGCTCACTTGTCCGTTGCTCGTTTAGGTATTATTCAGGTACCCCCCCCATCGACATTCAACCGAGGCATGTCAATACGATTTCCCTTTTGTTGCGCACCCCTTTGTGGTCACTTGTGTTGATGTTCAGTGGCATGACGGCAGGTTCTTACCACACAACCACTACAAACAGGGGGTTGGCCTTAAAATAGTTGTTTTCCTTCCGGCTTTCCGGGCTAATCCAAAAAAGGAACCCTGTCTTTTGGGATCCCCACAGACAACTAACAAGAACGATGGGGTGGGCAAGGCAAAGACATGCACGTTCTCTGTATCCCTTTCCGTCCAGACCAGAAAGACCCAGGGTGAGCACTTTTTGCAGGTCCGTTCGGGTGCAAAACGCTTGCTCGAAGCTTCAATCAGGTCCCTAAAGCTTGGTGTCCTTTCATGATCCAACCCCAGCCCCCCCACTAACCACCCACCCCGTAGTTGTCCTTCAAATAAGGTCTCAACAAGGCGGGGTGCCCCCTTCTCGACAGGGCTTGCGGGCATCACTTTTCAAGTTGGTTTCAGGAGAAGCCAAAAGGAAACCCCACTCACTTTTAGGAACCCCTATTTTAACGTACCCATATCGGCCTTGAGAGTTTTGCATAGAGCTGCAAGTCAGCTGGTTTCAGCTGGCTTTTTCTCTTTTTGGCTATTTCTGGCTTTGGCCTAAAAAGAAACAGGAACACCCGAAGTATGGTTTAACCAAACCGAGCCTCAAGGAAGAGGAAAAACAAAAGAACATGCTGGGCACGTGAGGGCGTTTGAACGCATAGCAAGACTTCCATGTTCAGGTTGCTTCCCCCTCAACTGAACAAGGGCACTCGGCTCGAGGTGCTGGGGTCATTGAGCCTTTGAAGCCAGTGCCTGGAGGCTTCAGGTGGCTGAAAAACAACAAACCCAGACTGAAGCTCTTTTCAGAGCAGTGGTTTTGGGTTGCAAAGCCTAATGCTGTTCTTTTGCTAAGGGGGCCCTGGCACCAAACCAAGTGTAGGAAGGCCTCCTACATCACAAACAATCAGATATCCCCTGACCCCGATTTGTTGGTTGTTTGGTGTCCAACATGTTATGGCCCTTGGAGGAAACGAGGTGCAAAAGAAAAGGGAACAATTTGAAGAAGGAACAAATTGAAAAAAGTAAAGTGTGTAGTGTAGGGACATGGTTGGTTTACCTTACGTAGGGACCTGGGGATATGGTTGGTTTACCTCACGTGTCTTTTGTCTCCTGATTTTTTTTTCAGGCCCTTGGAGAAAGCCCGCCCCTTCACCAAAAAGGCTATGGGTCAAAACCCAAATCGTACCCCAGTGAACATCCCAATCCAACCACTAAAATCGGTTCTAAAATGGGTGGCGAATTCACCTACCAACCAAAATAATCCCCACTAGAATAGACTAAAATGGGTGGAATCCCCACTATAGACTAAAATGGGTGGCGAATTCACCTACCAAGCAAAAGGGGATCCCAAAACGATTTTGACAACCACAGCCAAAAGCAGATGCTCCGAAAAACCAAATCAATGCCCGGAGCTTCCGATTCCGCCTGCCACTGGCAGCGGAGCAGCGCACCCTTTGGAGGCGCCCAGCAGCGCCGCGGGGTCTGCCTGCGCCGTCGAATTTGGAGCCCGACTCCGTGGGCCGGGCCCCGTGGATCCGGTTGAGTCGCAATCAAAACCTGGTACTAAAATGGTCGTAATCCCAGAACCATGTACAGGATGAAGGCGGATATCCGCAGCATCTTTTTTATGGGTGGGATCGTCCCTTAACCTTCATCTACCCGGGTTTTGAGCACGTGGCTCAGTTGAATACATGGGTGTGGGTCGAAGAACAGGTACCCAGAATGGGTTGTTGTTTTTTCCAGGAAAGATCCAGTTCATGGATTTATTTGTATTTAAACTTATGGGCGTGGGTCAAAAAAAGTACCCCAAGAAAGATGGAAGCAAGGGCTAAATTTGGGGCGGTGGTCTGGTGGTCTAATTTTGTCCCGTACCGGGCCCTCTGGCAGTCACGATTTGGCGGATCCATGTTCACCAACCCCTAGCCATATTATACCTGCATAAGGGGAACCACCTATTCAAATCCAAAAAGGAAAGTGGCTTGTCTACTACAGGGGTAGCCCGGGCTTGTCTCAAAAAGGGGCACCGCGTTTGGTTGGCTTTGAAGGAACTAGGAGACTACCCTGGAGGAATAGACGCACCCATATGTGTCTCCCTTTACAGCTGAGATTCATTCAACAGGGGGTCGAATGGGAGATCTGGGCGGCAAGACCTGGTGTGGGATACAGTTGGGCATCTACTTTAGCTAAACCCACCAACGGTTGGATTTGCCAAGATGGTGAACAAATGCTACCAACACTTATCTACCACGGAGTTACCTTCTTTGCGTAGTTTGCTGTTTTAGATGAGCAGCCCAGGATTTTCCATGGTGAATATCTCCCTTCTTGCTCAGTCAGGTGACATCTAGCCCAACAAAAGAAGGGTATTTGCAGGGGACATCCTGTGTGCAAGTAGTTGTCGCAAAAGGAACCCCCACACGAAAAAGGCCAATCACCGTGCCACTGAACAACTGGGTTGTTCCAAATAGGGGAAGTCACTACATGGCGTGCTGAGGGACTGCTCAGTCCAATGACTAGTCTGGCTTGCTCCAAGCCCCCTTGAGCAAAGGGTCTAACATTGCTTTGTTTCCAAAAGCTCTAAGGGGCTAAGAACACCAAAGACCAGCCAAGTGGCGGCTCCATGGAAAGGCTTCAGGAATCCCATTCACGGCCCTGTCACCCTGTGTTCTCGCACGCGGTCCAAGTGCTCCCTGGTCCACCGGTGAAAAAAATCCGCGAATATCAGTTGCCAAGAGACCCTGGTAAGGGGTGTCCCGAATAATGAACATGGCCCCCCTTGACAAATTGTGTACGAAAAAAATCACGCTTCACTCCAAAAGGCCAAAAGACAAGGACGGCAATGTGGAACAAATGTGTGATGACTCAAACGAAACGAAACCGTGCTGATCAGTCGAAACTGAACTTGGAGCACAAACAAAGCTCCAGAATTTCCCTTTTAGAAACATCACCCCGAGAGAAAAACTGGCCCAGGTGATGCTTCCAGCAATGGGACACCTACGGATTTGTCTTGCTTTCACATGGAAGGCCTCGGTCCACATGCCTTGAACCCAAGGGGAGGCGTGAGTTGAATTCTTGGCAAGCAGCAGGATGTGCAACCTGTCCTTCTTGCAAAGAGCCAACTCTGCATCACGACTTGCGGGGATACATGGAAGACCACACAAAATCCAAGCCACCAATTGCAGGGAAGCTGAGAAGTGTGGGGGCTAAATACAACTTGACAATTGTGTTTGCTCTTCTGCCTTAGGACCCCCCCGAATGTTTAAGTGTAATCTTCCAGGCCTCCAACTCAACCACACTGGATGCCCTGACATGCAATAATGCGTATGGCAATACTAACCTTCCAGGCCTCCAAATCTTGAACATGCCCTTCCCGCCTTGAACATCTCTGTCCAGTCAAACTTGCCCGACTGGTGCTCCTCCGGTAAGTCTTGGGTGAATTGTCAGGCCTAAAAAATGTCCACAACGAAAATACCAAGGTATGAGTTCAGCCCTTGGCTTCTCAGCCCATGAGCCTTGGTGTCTTTGGGAGGGATCTGTAGAGTCCCTGGCAAAGAGAAAAAGCACCTGCCTGTTTCTCCGTGTGAGGTTTTGCCCATGCGAATGAGTCGTACAAAACACCTGGTAAGATGCAAAAGAGCTCATCTTCCATTTGCTTGAGGTCTCTGAAACAAGAACCTTGAAAATTAACAAGCGAAAATAGGATTTTGTTTGTTGAAATCTGGGAATGTGTCCTGCTTGATTTCAGCTTCCGAGGCTTGTTGACGCTCGTGCAAGCACAAAGGTCCGAAAAATGAACAAGCTAATGACTGCGGAGCTTGCTCCACAGTAGCCTGGCTGCACAGTGGTTGATGCTTATGCCCAAGCCACTACGTTGCCAGAAATGAAGTAAACCATTGGTGGCCAAAGCCAGATTCTATGCCCAAGATCCCATCCCCGCACACTCGAAGGCAATGTACACCGACACCAGCACTTCACTCATTTGGAGGATACACGTAGGTAATATTCCATACATGGATGTGTCTTTGTTTCAGGGTACCCTTTTGGGGGTAGTTTATGTTTCTGTTTATTCCCCGGGAAACCAAAAGAGAACCACCTGCCAACAAAGGGAACCACTCATTGGGGGGGTTTCCCGAAAAGACAAACCCGCGGGTGTGTGATTCTTTAGACGGAGCCCGAAAGTGGCGGTGTTATGTCTGCTCTCCCTTTAAAGCCACAAAAACAACTAAAGAGAATGGTTTGGCGTTTCCCTTTCAAACCACAGCAAAGGTCACAAAGAGACACCGACATGGGTATGTGTCAAAGCAGGGGGACCCCGTAAATGGTGGTCTTCCCTTTGGTTTCCCTATACCCACCCCAAAACAAGGGTACCAAATCACACAAAAAGACATACCCCACATGAGTCATATTCAAAACCTGGCACAAACTTACCGTAAACCCAAAACCATGTACAGAGATGTTGCCAGGGCGGATATCCGCACCAACTTCTGGTCGGGAGTCCTCCCTTGCCAACCTTCACTTACCCTCCCACCAATTAACATGGAACCTGACGTTCGGCGGATGCGGAGGTCCCTTTAAAAGGACAATGGTCCGAACCGGGACCGATTCCGCCCGAAAGGTCCGGTTCAACTTTTAGTTTTTTTCTGGGTGGGGAAACGGGTAATTACCCGGCGTACCCGGCTTTTGTGTTCTTTGTTGGCCACAAACCAGGACCCTCCTATCAGGTTCATCAGCTTTGAATCAATGGGAGGCTAGGGCGCTTGTGGTCACAGCCATTTGTAGCCACTTGCAGCCACTTGCAGCCACTCAAGTGGCTGCAAGCACAGGACTCAATGGTTCTTCGCCACGCTGTGGCTCAAAAGTAGGTACCCCAAATGGCTTGCCCTATTATAGTAAGTGGAATCTTGGACCAAGACCTGCACCTGCCCTTTCGTGGCGGTGTTGCCGTGCTTGCTTGTGCCCACAAGTCCATTGGGACTGCACACCAACCCACCTGGCGGTTTCATCTTGGCCCATCGCACGAGGCGCGGCCTGGAGGTTCTGCAAGGCCTGGCGCACCCCGCGGGCGCAGGTGGCCCTCAGCGGCGAGTGCTCGCCTCGAAGGGATGCAAACGGATGGTTCAGGCCGCGGTGAGTCCCCAGATTTTTCCCAGGCGTTTGCAGATTTGCCAGGGTTCCCACATTTCTCTGGGTTCCAGGCTTGGGTTCCCAGATTTCTCTGGGTTTTCAGGTTTTTGCAGATGGGATTCTTGGGACTACCCCAAATTGTGGGCTGAAAGCATGGCTGTGAGGACGATTTTACCGGATAATTCCCAGCAAGCCTGATTCAAGCATTGGCTGTGTCTAAGACAGACTCGGAGCTCACAAAGGAAAGGAACAGGGAGTGGACATATGCGGATTCAGACCACTTTTGAAATGCCCCCACCAGGGGCTTATTCATCCGGGGTAAACATTAGGGACATCTCTTCAGACCACTTTTGCAGGCCCCCACCCTGGTTTTTCAAAATCGGGGTGAACATTCGGCAACCCGCAAAAACCATCAAAAAAACAACCAACCCGCCGTGCTTCTTGTTTTTTCTTTTTAAACATCGGGGTTTAGGCCACCCGCAAAAACCGGAAAAAGAAAAACACAACAAAAAACGGCCACCCGCCAAAAACGGACAAAAGACAGAAAGCAACAAAAAGAAACAAGAACGGAGACAGCCGCTCCAGCCTTAGCCCCCGCCTGCCAGGCACATCGCCCGGCTGAAGGCCACCATCGCGCCGTGGTGATCCGAGACCTCAGCTGCCCGCAGCGCCGCCGCGTAGTCGGCCTGAGCCCCGAGGCCGCGAGGACGGGGGCGAGCGAGTCACAGCCCCGTGCCTCCAGATGCTCACACCAAGGGAAATGGGAAGATCTATGCAAATATGTATATGCATATATAGACATATATATATATATATATTATGTATATACTATTGAAACATATACATATACATATATATATATATGCTACATATATTATATGTGTGTATCCCTATCTTTAAAGCTCATATGGCCATGAATTTTATTTAGGGACCCTTTGGTGGAAATCATTTAGGTGGGGATTTGTGTCCACCAACCACTCTTGAGGGGTTTCCCCATGAAATGTGTAGCCATACGGATACGTGCATCCCTATCTCTAAAACACAACGCAACATCATAGCCCTTCTTGTTTCCAAGCCATGGTAGGCAAGCAAACTCTTTGCTTTCTGCAAACCCCTGCTTAAAAAGAAAAACAACTCGAACCAACACATATCGAAGAAATCAACAACCAAACAATTACATCCAAGCACCTCTTAAAAAAAAGACTACCAAATATGAAGAGGAACATCACAGCTCGACAAACAACCCAAACAAGCACGTACCAGCGCTCAGTAGGGAATTTGCCTTAAAGCAAACCATAGGGGATGGTTTTGCTCGGGGTCATCAACTCATTCCCCGCCTATCGAACCAGCATGACAATGTTAACCTGGACTATTTAACCCAGTGGATTAGCAGGGGCTTCCCCAAAAAGTCATCCAGCGCAACCGTAGATGAACAAGATGTGAACTTTTCGGATTAATCGCACCTGACTTATGAGGGCAGATTCGGGGGGGTCCTTGCCAGGGCCCTCGTGAAACTCCGAAGTTAGCATGCTGTTCATCGGTTGCTTCCCTGAGAAAAGCGAGTGAACCAACCACGCAGTCACCCGGCCATCCACTTGAGGACAACCCCGCCTTGGCATCTTCGGAATCCGTGGCCATCAGCGTTCGGGGCACCGAAAACTTCTGCGTTTTCTGCGAAATCTTGGCTCGCCCGTGGGTTTTGGGCGGGCCTTGCGTGGCTTCATGCAGAACAAAATCTGTGGTTGGCTTCTACCAGAAACCTTATGCAAGGCTTGGTTGACGTAGAACTTCATCCAGCGAGCTTGATGAGCTTGCTCAATGAGATTGGCAAACAACAGCTGACATGTGCCGCTTGCCACTGAATTGATCCAAACCGAAAAGCCTCAAGTCCAGCGGGGAGTGAGATGACTTTTGCTTGGAAGGTAGCTGGTACATGTGGCGAATTCAAGAAACTGGTAACATTCTGCGCGGTGTCAGCGGCATTACAAATCGGACTTTTAGCTTGGTCTCATGCAAAGTGTCCCTAAAACCACCCGTTTCCCCGCACAGTTGCCCAAGGGACCCAAGAATAAAACTTATGGTTCGCCTTTTGTGGCCACGACCAACGCGGGCCAACAAGCACATGGTCTACAGGCCGGCTTCGGGCAAACTGAGCCAAAACCCCATGGCCGCTTGCTTGTGCTTGAGCCGAACACTTGGCGGGCCTTCGAGTCGCCGGCGCCAGCAAGGCCCCATGAGCGGAAGTCCGACGGCTTCTGGGCTTGGTCAAGTGGCTGGTTGATCCTCGAGAGACACCCTTCCCCAAAAAAAAGGGGAACAACGGGCACCGACCTTGTTGGGCAACAAAAATCCAACTGAGAGCGACGTGATTTGTTCCTTCTCAGGCTGATCAAATTACGGATTGGTTCTATGCCCCTGGTGAATGGAGGGTCTCGAAAACAAGCATAAAAAGCTATTAGGGACCAAAGCTACGGGTTGACTAGTGAAAATCGCGGGCCCTAAGGGCCCTCTTCGAATGATGTTGAGCTCTGGAAGCATTTGATTTTAAAAACCCTTGAGGATGCTCCATTGAAGTCCTTCTGATGCTCCGCATTGAAGCTTCGTTGGGGGTCTGCACTGGAGCGGTCATGACCCTTAGGCGTTGAACCTCTACAAGGAACTCACTGTAAGGTGTTTCACATGGCGTAAAAGCAAGCATCTGGACCAAACCTCATCAGATCAGAACTTACGTGGGTGTACTCCATATAGTCGGCGAATCTGCTTTAGAGATTCGTTGTTTTGGGCAGACCTCAGGAATGCCGTTCGGCTGCGACTTTTGGCAGGCCTACCAAATCGCATGAGTGTACTTTGTTTGTCGAGGATATACCCGTTTTGTGGTGTAAGGAAAATCAAAAGGAAACCATCATTTCGCGGGTCCCCTACAAACAAGGCACAATGACTGATTGAAAGCAAACTGCAAAAAGGAAAGGGCACTTTGACTAGTTGGAGTAAGAAACCGACCCGCTAAACAGGGGGCCTGGAAAAATCAAAACATCCGTCCCCTTTCGGCATCCTTTACTTGGCCCACATCTGGGGTACACAAAAAACAAGTTTCAGTTTCTCGTCCATCCTTTGCTTTTCCTCAAACCTTGGACCTTGAATCATTCTCGATGAGACCCCGTTTTCTGGGAAAAACTATCAACGATGCGCTACTTAGCACCGAGTTGTCCTTGCAAGAAAACCCTTTCGCTGACGCCTTGCGTGAGAAAACCAGAAGCACGCTTCGCGGGCAACCAATCTCGCCCAGCCAATGCTTCTTTGTTGTTCTCAGGATAATGGTAACTTCGGATGAATCATAGTTGGTGCCTGGTGCCCCTTTCACTGCGGAGCAAATGCATTTGGTGGGAATTCACTCCTTTGACAAGGATGTTGGGCGACCCAAAATTGGGTGCTAACAAATGGGTTCCGGGCCGCTAAGCACATGATGGCCCGTTAGAGCGCGCCCAATCAGAAGCCACTTAGTCGAAACCCGTACGGGTCACCTGAATATTGTCTTCGGAGTCGCTCGAAGCCACGCCTCAGTCAGGTTCATGCCCACCTGCAAGAGGCATGTCTCCTGCCATGAACTTGGCTGAGCCTCATGTGGATTCTATGCTCAGACCCAGACATACAAGGTTCAGCTTTTGGATCCCTGACTCAACTGGGCGGCTCTGAGATTCCCTGCTACAAGTTTAGCCAGTGGGTTGAATGAAAACCACCACCAAACTCTAAAAAGCTGAAAAGCTAAGGGGATGGCTGGGAGCCAACAAGCAAAAATGGACCAAACCAGGAAAACCAAAGGTTGACCGGTCGGCTTTGGGCAAGTGAGTATGTGAGCAGCCCATTGACAGTTGGTTCCACCAACACCATTATAAAGGTTCAAATGTAGGCGGTACTGAAAAGCCAAGAAAACTGGCAATTTGTCTAGACCCCTCGACCAAAATGGCCAATGGACATCTTGGGCACAGCTCAACGTGTGCCATGGTCTAACTCCTGCTCATGATCATGGTTGCCGCAATAGGAACCCTTACATCTGCTGCCGAAGAAGGCGATGCATAGGTTGAAGACAATCTCTACCAACCCCAAGCGAAGGGGTCTGTTGATTTCGGCTCATTGTATGTTGCAAAATATAGGAGATCCACAAGATGAGCGAGTTCCTTCCGGAGAAGCTAAACAACATGGATAAGCTTAGATTCGAGCACCAAGTGAACAAACCTGTTGACTTCCATTCTGGAGAAAAACTAGAGCATGCAAAGTTCAGATCCCATCAACAAGTAAACACATGTGCCTCTTCGTTGTACCAGAGCAATGAGTAGACCGGCCAGCAAAAGTCCAAACTTGTTTTACCGCAAAATGTGACTTCCCACAGAGTTCAAAGTTCAAAGTCCAGGGAGTAAGTATGGCTTACCATTCAGCTAAGTTTCAACTTGTTTTTGCGCTGCCCAGGCGTTTGGGCGGCCCCAAAAGGATGCTCGAGATGGCCTCCAAGTACAATAAGCTTGCTCCAAATTCCTGATCTCCGCAAACGTGGGAACATGGCAACCTGCCAAAATGAATCGACCAACCTGAGATTTGCTCATCTTGCGGCTCGGAGGCTCGGAGCACACCAGTAAAACGTAGACACCATGTATCGGGGAATCCTGCCATGTCGGCCTCTGATGAATAACCCCCGACTTTCGTTGAGGGGGATCCGCTTTTAGTCAAGCCTGCAGCGAAACCCTGGGTTGTAGAGGGCAGGTTTTCTGCAACACAGCCGGGTGCTTGTGGCGCATGGTTAGCTTTCCAGAAACTGAGGCCATTTTACATTTTAGGCTAGACCGTATGATCAAATTGATTGCTGTTTTGTTCTTTTTCTTGATGTAATATTGTCTTGACTCATTTATTGGTTTCTTGATTCCTGTATTTTGTTCTTTGTTTCTTTCTTTGTTTCTTTGTTGCTGTCTTTCTTTCTTTCTTTCTTTCTTTCTTTCTTTCTTTCTTTGTTTCTTTGTTTCTTTGTTTCTTTGTTTCTTTGTTTCTTTCTTTCTTTCTTTCTTTGTTTCTTTCTTTCTTTCTTTCTTTGTTTATTTCTTTCTTTCTTTCTTTGTTTAATTCTTCCTTTCTTTCTTTCTTTCTCTTTCTTTCTGTCTTTGTTTCTTTGTTTCTTTCCTTCTTGAAATCCTGCTTTCTTGTGCTGCCCTTTATTCGGGAATCCCCAAAACATTGGCAGGTCACCTCCCGGGGTCCTGCTCCTCAGCATTGGCCAGAAGCAGCAGCAAGGCAATACACCGCATCTGGAATCAAGTCGAGCGATCGGACTACCGGAAACGCGGGGGGGGCTTTGGGCTTTGGTGGGTGTTCAAGGAAACGAACAAAGGCTCCAAGTCTTGGGGACCTCTGAAAAAATGTGTGGTTTCCACGTTGTGGTTAGTGCAGATTCATTCCTGAGTGGATTGGCAAAAAGACTGTCCTGAATGTGTTGTTTGCCACTTAAACGGACAAGCCGAAGGGTGAGAGGCTTACCCTCCCACTCAACTATTGGTTGGCCTGTTCAAACTGGTCGTTGGTTGGATCCGACTGTCCATCTCAAGAAATGGGGTCATGACAGCTTTGGCAGAATGGCAGCTGGGCTGCGAAGACCAAACTCGGGAAACTGATTCCTCCTGAGGGGACATATTTAGGCACGTCTCAAACCGAGATGTGAGTTCTTTGCAGGCGAAAGGCTCCCCCAATTTGTTTTTCCCCCGCTGGTTTCCTCCCAAGGTGATTTTGGGGGCGGCCTTGGCAGCGACTTTTTTGGGGCTGAGCCGGGCTGAGCGGGGGGCATGCGTCGAGCGCCGGGCCTGCGGCTTTGCGGCTCTCGGTTCGGTGAGTCGGAGCCAAAGCCTCGGAACGAGCGCAGCTTAGTGCCATGGGCCCCCGAGTTTTTTTGTTTTTCCCTTTTGTTTGTATCTTTTTGTTTCTTCTGCTTTTTCCCTCACGCGAAATATGTACTAGGTCCTCCGGTAGAGAGGTTAGAATAAGGGTACCAACTTTTGCGGTAGTCTATTTAAGTAGGGGAACTCTTCCCCAAAAATGGGGACAAAAGGGCACTACTACTGGGGGCCATAGTGTAGGAACCCTGGATGTCATTCAAAACAACCACCGGGCGAAATATGTAGGGAACATCTCTTTCAGATGACCAGGGAACATGCTGTGGCTGGTTACGAAATCCAGTTCGCACCACCCAAGAAACCACGGTTGAAACCATAAGGTTTGTTGGTATTTCCCGGATAATCATCAGCAACCAGGGTTTCTTAGGTGGTGCAGGATTCTGTCCATCCAAAGTATGTAGAAACCCTGGAAGATGTGAGTGTATCTCAGGATGTTTTCAGGAGCAGGTGACCACGCAAGGGGAGATGTGTCCGTAACATCTGAAAGATTCTGAGTGACCCTTATTGCTGCCCCGGGGTTTATTTATGGCACCGCTTTTCGTCATGACCCCATGTAACATTTGTGCCCCGAAACTGTCAGGCAAGGGAACACGCCTTTAACTACAAGGACAACGGCTGCTTAGTCTTCATTCGCATCTGGGCTATGTGACCCCCCGAAACTGGCCGGCTTCTTGTTCCCAAGCTTACCCCAAAAAGGGCACCGGGACTGGGATTCTCTCCATTTGCTTGGGCCCCCTGGAAAAAACAAAGAAACAAACAAACAAACAAACAAACAAACAAACAAACAAACAAACAAACAAACAAACAAACAAACAAACAAACAAACAGTAGTAATAGATTCCCATCAAAACCAATGTTTTTTTTCACTGCAAATCGAAGCGCCTTTGAAGAATCCTCGTGTTTCGCTTTGAGTCTTGTACAACATCACATTTGTCCAACTTCTGTGGTTGCAATGAGTTGAGCTGTCCGCATGGCGAAAATTGCGACACGCCCAAAGCTCTGACCTGTCCAGGACCCAGTGCACAGAAGAATGACCCTTTGGACATGGGGTACATTCGAAATGAAGCACCCTGGTTGGCGTTTATTGGGAATCCATAAAAGGAAAGCCACTTTGGTGTGTTCCCCTATTTTCAGACAACCCAACGAAGACTCGAAACGAACCAACACAAAGTCTGGCGACTCCGTGGCCTTCCCACCCACTCAGCCGCTCAGCTCGCTGCGAGCGCGCACTCGCTGCGCGCTCCGCTAGGCCCCGCTAGTCCCGCGAGCCAAAAGGCGGGCATCTGTGGTTTGGGGGGCAGACTTGCGTGGATCGCCAGGACACCGAGTTCCTGTTTTTGGGCTGTCGTTTTCCGATCCCCCGCTAAAAGTTTACCTTTTAGTGGTTTAAATGCAGACTAAACACTAGAAGGCTAGAAAGCTAAGGAACCGGACGGCTGGGAGCCAGCAAGGTTTGTCAAACATTCGGTCCCCAACAAACAACTGCGGGGCCCTTACGGATAAAACGCGCCGAAAGCTCTGATGCCAATTCGGCTCACTCTTGACATCTAAATCTGCAAAAAAGAGCCTGATGAAAGAGACACATGGATTTGGTGGGTATCATGTTGTTGCATCCGCATGTCTAGAGATGATGCTAACATCACAGCCTCTTCTTTCTGAGCGGCTTCCCATTGTATGCAACTCTTCTGATATGTTCAAGCGCCAGCCAGTTCTGTTCTCCGGAGTTGTCTTGCGCGTGGAAAGAACGATCCCTGGAAGATGGCCCTAGGCAAGAAGATTCATCATGCAACGGGACCCATTGACGCTTAGCTCCCGATGTTGCGATAAAACCGGAGAAAATGCAAGCAAACCAACCCCTCTCAAAGGACTCAACTTGTTGGATGATGAACAGACCTATCCTGGCGGTGGTGGAAAAACATAATTATGTCTGCGATACCAGAGTGGGCAATCCCCGTTGCTACTTTACAACTTCAAGTTTGCAGCAACCATAAGGAGAGGTCCCAAATCCCCTCGCACACCTGCAACGAGCCCGCAAGGTACAAAGAAAGAGCTATGGGTTGATTCCATGCGAAAAGGCGGGGCCCTGCATACCAAGAAAACTATGGAGAAAGGTCCCTCATGGCGGGACAACCCCTCTTCCAGCAGTTGGGGGTGGGGATGGTGCCACTGAAATATTGGGGCTCCCCCTCTCTCTCTCGACGTCTCTCTGTCTCTCTTTCTCTCTCTCGCTCTCTCTCTCTTATTCTCTCTTTCTCTCTCTCTCTCTCTCTCTCTCCCTCCGAGCGCGCCTCACTCATAGCGGGCCTGCAGTAGGCGCAACATGGAGAGGGGGATGGACTTGGGGGAATGCATGCTCTCAAAGACCCGGGTTCTGTGGCTTCACTTCGTCTTCTAAGGCCTGACAAATACCGGTTGATCTTTTTGTTGGGCAAGTGAACTGCTTTCTGGTCACAGGCGTTGACTCCTCAGTTTTTGGCTAAACTGTGTAAGAAGCAATTCCTGCACCATTCGGTAAGTGGTCTTTTCCAGTTGTCCATTTGATCTCATCCATCCCAACTGGTGCAGGATGTTTTCCATCCACAGTACGTCTTGCCCACCAAGCCTCACTTAGCCGTTTCCGATCAGCCGTGCGTCCAGCTCTTCTATCTTACAAGTGTCCTTAATCTGATCCACCCCGGAACCAATGGAACCAGCTTTACACACTAGCCACACCTCTTGCATTTGTCTATAGATCACCCCCTGCCCCCGGTTCGGGTCTTGTAGGTTCGGACGCTTTCGCCTTATTTGGCATATGAATGAAGTGTTTTCAACGCCCCAAACCTCTGGGGGGCTCAAATCTTCTGTTGGGGGAGCAACATGAACTAGGTCCTCCAGTAGAGAGGTTAGAATAAGGGTACCGTTTTTTCTGCAGTCTATTTTAGGGGAACCCTCCCCCGAAAAAAGGGCAAAAGGGCACACATGGAGCAACCATCATTCATGAAGACCCCATCGTTGCTTCAGAGGCGCGATTGATGGCCTGGAATGCAGAGGCCCGGCTTCGGTTTCGGCTTCGGAAAGCGTTTTGAAGACTTCGCCTCGGGAAAATCCTCTGACCGAGGATCCTTCGGTAGAACTTTGCTTGTCATTCACAGGTCATGGGGTCATTCATGAAATTCGGAAACAAAACTATGGATCCTCACCAGAAGACGTAGGCAATATATGCAACTCGCAAACCTGCGGTTTTCACTGGGCTCTTTGAAATCGTGTGTGTGTGTGGGGATGCGACTCAGGGCTTTGGCGTTTGCGACTCACGCGCGCGAGCTGGCTTTACTCGCCATGATTGCAGTTCTATCAACACATACACCCATGGACTGAAATACGGGAGAAAGGGGTTCTTGCCAGTGTCAAAACTCCAAACGATATTATTCAAGGCAAACAACCCTGGCTTCTGACCTTTGGTACAGAAACAATCAAACACATGGGTGTCTTTTCTTAGGGGAACCCCCTTTGGACTCATGTCTGTCTCAGCGCTTGAGCCAAGCGACTGGGGAACTGCTGAATCGGACGAAAAAAGCGACTCACTCGTCAAGAAGCCACGAGCTCATGCCCGGTCTTGCACTGAAATGCCCATGAACACGTCCAAAGCTGAGTTCAAATATCCAGCACCCTACCTTGATTGAAAACATGTTCTCACAGAACAGCAATCGCATTTTGTTTAATGCATGTGTTTGTTTAAACAAGTTCCAGGACGTCCACTTTCCGATCACAAAATATCGAGACGTTAGGAGTCGAAGTCTAAAGCCAACGCATAGACACAAGTGATCTGCTTCAAATCACCCGTCGCACCTGAAAGTGAATGCTTCACATAGGACCGTTACCTGAAAACAAACAAACAAACAAACAAACAAACAAAGAAACAAACAAGGAACACTAGACAAACAAGTTGAGGCATTCGATTCAAGCTCAAGCTGTTGCAACTTTCAGCAGCAACACAGCGGAGTGTCGGAAAGCAGAAACACACAGCCCTTTGCATCCCACCGTTGCAATCCTGCATGTAAAACAACAGAAACACCCCGATAGGAGACAAAAGCTTCTGGGACCCGAACTGATGAACTCAGGCTCCAAAGCCTGAAGTACATCGCTTTTCCTCGTTCTACCTAGGTGAGCCATACTCAATCAACACCTGGCCCGAAAACGCATGCTGCATGGACAAGAAAACCCATGGAACAAATGAAAGGCGGATCTCCGCCGCTATTTCTGGTGGGACTCTTCCTTGCGCGCCTTCACTCAGCCAGATTTTGAGCAAGTGGCTCAGAGCTCGCATCGATGGATTGTGGTTGCCAAGGCTTTCCGATGAGATCGGAGCATCCGAAACCAAAAATACGGGTCTGAGACTTTCTGTTTGGCAGCAGCAAACAACCAACAGCTCCCCCTCAGCCACTTGAAAGGCCCTCCGTAGAGCTTGCTTCGAAGAGCTCTGATCAAATTTTTAAAGGGTCATTGCAGGATCATTATCGGACGCCCACCCGTTTCCCCGATTTTGTGTGCTTGCCCATCCCAGTGGATCAGAGTCACCTCTATAGTCTATAGTACATAACCGGACATTGCCCTTTCGGTCCTTTGAAGGGTGGTTCTCTTGGATACCTATCAGCAAAATGGAATCACAACATGTTCCCGTTTGATCGAGTTTTGCTCTAATCCCAGTAGCCATCAAGTTGCCAGCATGAAGCATGAAGCATGAAGGATCCCCCAAACAATTCACCCCCCATCAAACCCCGACCCCCTCCGCCAATCAACCCCCCAACCCCAGCTCCCAAACCCCCGCCACCCTCCTACCCAACCACCCCCAGCCCACCCAGCCCCCCAGTCCCCAACCCCCGCAACTTCGCGTTTTCCGGTTCACAAACCGCTGCTCCTCAAGGCGTCCCGCACCTGGCGGAAGGCCACGTCACCACGCCTGTGATTCCATTGTCCAAGCTGACCCAAGATTTATGGTTCCTTGTCGCGGAAAAAAAGGGGAGACCTTTGAAACAAGCATGATCAAGGATAACTGAACATAATCAAATCGGGATCAACATTGACATAAGGGTAGGTAACCAAGGAAACCAGCTGTGGGTGAAACCCCAAATTTCTCAACTGCGGATTTGGACTCAGGAGGAAACCCCAACTGTGGATTCGGAGCTCGACTGTGTCCTGTCGATCCCCAGCCATTTGCCTTTGGGATACTAGAGGATGGTTGCCTTGGTTACTATACAGGGAAGTTCAATCACCTGGGAAGTAGAAGAATCAACCCAACCCAAGTTAGTCACCCAAAAGAAGCTCATTGTAAAATCGGTCTATAACGGACTTGGGGCAAAACACTACAATGCACACATTGGGAGTAGCTCATGCCCCTTCTACTAAAGCACCCAATGGGTGCGCTGGTTATACTTGGTACATGGGTGCCATCTACATCTTCAGCCTCAAACTCTAATTGGAAACTGGTCAGTGCTCTTGGTACAGCCCCGCAAAAACAAAGGAGCCTGGAGTCAATCCAACAGGCAGGGAACCACCTCAATTGATTTGACTGGGCTTTAAAAGGTTTCCTTGGTTGCCCATAGAGGTTCATGGACACTAACGGAATCTAACGGATAGAACCATGGGTGGTTCAGAAACACTATGCGGAGTCTTCTTTTGGGTGGGATCTGGCAGACCCTGTGAAGATCTATACATTCAGTTTGCAGGGGAGAAGCATGTCTAAGACAATGCTTCACACCCTCACCTTGACAGGGAAAGAGCTGGTTACTTCAAGTGGAAACACCAAATGAAAGCACATTATTTTGAGCTTCACAGAGAAAGGTCATCATGGTCATGAAGTCCTGCATCTTTGCGACCCTGTCCTCCAATCGATGGCAGCCAACGCCTTCTGGAGCTGCGTATTGATGTTCAGGTTGTCATCGATGCCATCGCTCCAGTCGAGGACAATCAACGTCTCGTCCCAGGTCGATGTAGCCCTCCAACCCTTCTTGGGCTTTCAAAGGCTGGGAATCCTTCTACGGCTTACTTGCCTGAAATTCCCACCCCCAATTGCAATGGGAACATGCAATCGGAAGGGCCGCTGTATGTAGGGGATCCCCCGTGGAAAAAGACAAGCAAACAGGAAACGACCCCAGTTCACTGATAGACTTTATGAACACAGTTCATGTGTGGGTGAAGTTGGACTTGCTCAATTCTTAATCCTTGGATTTCAATCTGTTCTACCATCACTTCGTTAGAGACAAACAGATCAAATGGTACCAACAGTTGACCCAGATCCCGGGTGAGGGGCACGACTCTGGAGCATGAACGTAACCTCATCAAAATTACCCTCTAAATTATGGTGTCAAGGGAAGCGCCCCCCCCCCCTTCCCCAGGCGTTTTGAGAACCCAGCAAGACTTTCAGGGACCCAGCGTTAGGCCAAACAAACATCAGCGAAGCAACTTCCCGATTTCATCCCACTGCCTGCTCCGGTGCGGCTGCAAGCAACGCCTCCGTATCGCCATATAGATGTGCAGCTCGCTTGTGTGTGTTGGGATGGAATTTTCTACCACGACCTGCGACCCAGAGGCTTTCAATTAGTCAACAGCGGGGTCTGGCGCGGATGAGGCTGTGGCCTTGAGTGCTTCAGGTTGGACATGGGTCAGTTGAGGGCAAATCAATTCGGTTCAGAGTGAGGGGTCGCGGATTCAGCGGCTGACGCTTGGGGACTAAAGTAGGATTGGTCCGCGCTGGTTTTAGAGTGGGTGTAGAGCCACCCCATTACCCACCAAAAGCAAACAAGTGATAGCGCCTGATAAACAAGGGGTCTGCAAACTATAGGAGAATTCCCAAGAATGAAATAAGGGATTATCGTGTGAAGGATCCACATCATGGCGAGCCCGTTTCACCTGTAGAAAGGTGAGCTCGTCAGAAGTAGGCAGAAGGGGTATGCCCGGAAGTGATCCAGATCCTCAAGACACTACCAACAAAAGAATCAGCTGCCGGCGCTTGTAAGCAGCGAACTACTGACAGGCAAGCAGCCAGCCAGGCAGCCAAAAACAACAAGCAAAGAAAGCAAGAAACACACAATCAATCAAATCAACAAACAACAAACAAACAAACAACAAACAAACAAAGAAACAAACAACAAACAAACAAACAAACAAACAAACAAACCAACAAACAAAAAACAAGCAAGCAAGCAAACAAACAAACAAACAATTAAACACACAAACCACAACCAACACCAAGAACAGTGAAACCGTGTGTTTGTCGCGCGACATGACCCATGTCCGACAACTAAGTGGGAACAATGAAGCAGCTGGCTGCTTAACGTCGGCCCGAAAGGTGGTGTTTATTCTCAATGTGCTGGCTGAAATTTGTTGTAAAATAGGAACACCATCGCTGGATAAATTGCATCGGTTGTATCTGATGTACTGTTCATGTTCATTGCCTGTTATCCGGGGTTCCCTTATTCTGAAGGGAAGCTTCATTGCTTTTCGTCTCGTCTAGGTGATCAACGTCTTAAAGTCACTGCATTTCTAACGCCGATTCGGGAGTCCTCACCAACCCCCAAACTACTTGACAATAAACCTTATTCAAGCCAAGCAAGGCCTTAACACCAGGGGGGCCTGGGGTTGTAGTCCCCGAGATCTCAGTCTTCGGGCAAATCTAACTCCAGAAGGCTCCATCGAAGCAAACTTGGATACCCCCGGCTCCGGTTCCCGGCTCCCGTCCAATCACCAACCAGTGCATTTCATGTGCTTCAGTCCCTCAGTCCCCTGAAAAAAGCACATATACTTCCAGCAGAAATAGTAGTGATAGATTCCCTTCAAAATCACCAGGGGAAAAACAATATATTAATATATACATTTAAAAACAACCAACAATCACAAAACACCTATTCCCAAGGCTTAACGATACTTTATGTTTCTTCCCTCAAACACATGGAGCCAACTAACCCCAGTCATCCTTCGGCCTTCTTTCCCCCCTTCAGGGCACCTGGAGCTGCTCAGGTCGGAGCTGCTTGAGCCAAGCCTCAAGGCGCCGGGAGATGAACCCCTGGCTTTTGTAGATAGATGGGAATCCCCTCCTTAATAGCCAGCAAAAGGGTACCCTGAAAAAGATACACCCACATACACAGATATCCATGGAACAACTGCAGAACCAAGACGCCGATGCGAGTGCGCGCAGGCGGGCGGGGCGGGCTCGAGTCGGTGCATTTGTGTTTGTGTGTGTGTGTGTGCGCTTGTGTACTATGGCGGGTTTCGCGTTTTCAACAACTGACTTCTGATCAGCGACGCATATGGAATTCGTCAAAATGTCCCTTGAGGGAAACATGTTTGAACTGCAAATGGTCATTGCAAGCCACGACCATATCCGACCATCTGGGAACTAATATCATTCTGCCCATGCGCATTTTCATTAAAGCTGACTTAGAATATACTCAGAACGCTGCCAGGAGGTCAAAACTGAAAATGGAAGAAGCTCCCTTGTGTTGTCTAACTTCCCAAGTGGGTTGGCCACACAAGTAATTAAACACATATTGTTTGCCGCACAAAAAAACAACAACTTGTCTTTCGCAAAAAAAAAAAAAAATGTCAAGGCGCTCGGAGCTCGGGGACTCTGTCGTTCACCAACAAACAAAGGTCCGAACAAACACAAATCCCATTCGAAAAGCAAGACCCGAGGCTCCGGGCGGCCATTCGGCCAAAGAGCCAGCCTCAGTTGTCAGTGTGAGATGTGTTTTGGAGTTTCAAGAGAAGCCAAAGGACACTACCCTCCCACCAACTTACATGGATCCTGACGTTTGGGGGAATCGGTTCCAGTTGGGACCATGTTCCTTTTTAGAGGGACCCCCTGTCAGGTTCCATGATGATTGCTGGGAGGGCAACTTGTTTCAGAGCCTTACTTTACCCACTTGGGACGGGAAAATGGGGCTAGCCAAAAATAAGGGGTCATGACAAAATTTGGGGTCATGGAGACTCCAGGTAGGAACCAATGGCTGAAATGGAGAGGGTGCGGTGCGAATCTTGGGGCCTCAAAACAGGCCACTGGTCCAAACTCTTCCAGGGGCTTCACCCAAACATCCGCCACTAGAGGCAAGCAGCAATCTTCCTGGGTTTTGAAGGCTTCTCTTAGATACCTGCTCACTGGGTTTGATGTCAAAAAAAACACGAATTGCTGCACTATTCAAGAGGGAATCCGGGATACAAAGAAGAAAGCCTAGAGCACCAGGGCACTTTGAAAGGAAGGTTCTTCAAGTGGCTCCATTTTGAAGGGTTCTCACATTTGACCTTGGGCACGTGAGACACTGACGCGTTTTGGAAAGTTTGTTCTCTGCAAAGTAGCGGTGAGCCACAGGTTTGGCGGTGGTGGTAAACTGTGAATGATGATATTTGCGGATTCACGTCAGCCCACCCTGTGTTCAGGATGCTGAAAACACAAAGCGCAATGCGAGGAAAGAAACCCGAACGACACTCTGCGCTTTCAACCTTTTCCGTTACACAAGACTTTGGGTTCGGGGAGGTTTTACTCGACCCGGTGCCCACGGGAACAAGGGCAGTCTTTTGGGCTGAGTTTCATGGGATTCCAAACAAGCGGAAAGTGAGATAGGTCCAACGCTCAAGCAACAAAGGGTCCAAAATGCAACGGGCTTGAGGTGTGTTTGAGAGGGCCAAATGCAGACGCGCTGCGCGCGATGGTCGCATCTTCTAACGAGCCATCCTGCGCCGCACGCAAGAATGGGACGCCAGCGAAAGCGGGGAAGCCCGGGTTCTAATACGTAGCATCCCATCCATTCTTCCGAGGAATCTAGCCAAAATGGAATTCGCAAGCAGGAAATCAGAAATCCCCCACAAACTCCCATCATGGCTGAGCTGGTTTTGCTTCCCCGCCCCCCCCCGAAATGTGAGCTGGTCATTGCCCGAAGCTACCTTGTCCGAGCTGGGGACCAACTGATGCAAAGGACTACAGGACTACACAGTAAAGCTGGCGGTCCCTGAACCCTGAACTTCCGACACCCCTCTACATATCAGTGCTTCCTAAAACGGCAAACCTCCTGTATGGCCTCGAAGGAAAGAAAGGTAACTCGGCAATGCAAAGGGCACTTGGAAAGGGGGTCAAGCACCAGTGCAAAGCCAGGTCGAATCCATCCATGTGTTTCGACTGTACCCTTAAATAGTGTTTGTTTCTTTTCAAGGCTGAACAAACGAGAAACTCATTGGAGGTCCAACGTATTTAGAGACAACCGCAGATGTGGTCACAATGCTCTGCTATCCTATTTGACATGGGACAAATCAGACAGTCTTCCAGCTTCTGTGGCCTGAAACCTTGGAAGGTCCCATATGCCCCTCCCAAATGCACCAAGACAGACTTTTTTGACCGAACACCTCAGTTGTTTTTGTTTTTTTTCCCCCCCCCCCTTGGGTCTGATGTTCAATTGGGACCCTGCGGCAGGCACTGCGTTCCAACTCGGACCCTAACAGTCGCCAAAAATTTGGAGGACCGTTTTAGTTTGAGGGCTTGATCCAAATGTTCGTCACCAACTGCAGGGCCGGGGGGCATCGGAACAACATGGGGATGAGAGCATCCACTTCAACATATCTTCGTCCTCTCGGAGCCCATGGAAAGTCTGTCGGGTGATGCTCCACGGGGTTCCCACGGCCGACCACCGGGGGTTCCATCGGCCTGGTGGCTGTGCCGCAGCTCGGGCGGCCTTAGCTCTGATCGACAACTGCTCGAGCCAGATTGAAATATTTGGCCTTTCTGGTAACCTGGGTGTTCGATGCGACAAATAGCGTAGCTTCTAGGTACCTGGCTTTTCTGGCGATTTGAGCTTTCGACAGTTTTTGATGGTAAGTACCTGTTTCTTCAGTCATACCCGCTGTTTTGGGTGGTAGATGTTGTTGAGCAACTGGTTTTCCAAGTCAATATAGCTAGGGGTTGGCATCATACCTTTCACAAACAGAGACTCCTATTAATAGATTTCTCCCGCAGCCTCGAGGATACTCTTCGTTGGGTGCTTGAGGGGAGGGTTCGAGTCCTTCGTCGGTTTCCTATTGGCACAATCCGAGAAATTCCACCCTCGCACTCACTTGAACTTCTGATTAGACTTAGGCAACCAGTTATAGAATGTATATTCTATTGCTTGCTTCCCTTTGAGTCACTGGTAAAATCTAAGTCCCCAGTTGCCGTTCTCACCCAAAAGGATGCCGTTCTCGGCTCGACGCCGATTTGAGCTCTTGGACTTGGAGCCATGGGCCCCTGCGAAACTCCCGTTTGCTTGTTTGCATGTTCTTGGTAGCAACATCTTGGTTGACGTTGGGTTTGGGGAGCAACACAATATGATATTTTTAGCAGTTCAGTGGGGATTTCCCACTAAACCACGAAAAGCGAAAATGTCAAGATGTGTCCCAACAACCACCATGACATAGATCACCGATTGCCCATTGGCGACGCTTGCCCAAAAGCCAGCCAGCCATACCAAGTTCTCTTTTGGGTTCCGAAGCTGGGCTGCCGCGCAAGAGGCAGAGCTGCAGCTCCACAGCAGACCGGGCCTAGCCATGGCGAATTTCAGTGGATTTTGCGGACGAAAAGAGTACCCCTCTCTTTTGGTTGAGTTTTACAGGGTAGTGGATCACCAAAACCGCCCGAATGTTGACCCCTTACTCATCAACCCGTTTATTGATTGGGTGGTGTCCCTGGGATTAGTGGGGAATCATCACTTTTGGAGGGGGGACACCTCCCTATGAATAAACTGGGGTTGATTGAAATGAGGTGAGCATTAGGGACAAAGGGTCTCCCTCCTACCTGTTCGCTTGTTGTCAGGGAAACTCTTGCGACAAGAATGATGAAGGAGAAGTGGGCAGCAGGCAATTGGGAATCCGTGCGGAAAAAAAAGGGCGGACTTCAAGTGAATCAAATGACTTTGGTTGATGGGCGGGGTTTGCGGTTTCGGGAGTTAAACCGCTTGTCCTCATGGGCAACTGGGAAACCACACCCTTTCCTTCACCAAATCAAGCCACCAATTCAGTGGAGGCTGAGAAAAACATGGTGTGCCCAAAAAACCAGATCGGCTTGCAACTCAATTCGGTCTAGTGTGAAGAAATAAGACCCCCACGGAAGATACCCGTACAAAAGGCCAGCGCAACCGGGGTTGGGACTCGACACCTTCACAGCCAGCGACCTGAAACCAACCCTGACAGCCTGACAGCTCAGATCAGTTCAGGAAGAGACCCCTGCTTGAGGATACCCAGAAAGTTTCACCCGCATGATCCCCACAGAAATCCTACTTTGAAGGGAGCCACCCTGAATACCACCCTGCGGTCGCCATGGAACCTGGCTGGCTTGCGAAACATTACAGACCAGGTCCTCCTTTGGCCTTCATGCCCACCCCTGACTGGAATAGAAGTGGGCTTGAGCCCCACTACGCCAGCCCCTTTTCAGTATATCTCATAGGGGGTGAGGATGGACCTTCTGATGATTTCATTTGGGAAGAAGCTGGGGCAAAATGCTACCCTCATTTTTTGGTTGTACAAGGGCAGCCCGAAATTGCCTGTCAGAGTATCCTTTGCCCCGCACGTGCTGCCATGTTTTTTTTTTTTGGTTCTGGCGAAGGGCCGCTTGAGAACACCGGCGCGCACCCTAGGCCGCACGGACCATTTTTTCCTCCTCGCCGCGGAGCCGCTTCCTTCCGCGCGGTTCCAGCTGGTCCTGGGTGTCGCCCACAAGATACGTGGGAAGTAGGGGCGCCGAATTGAGTCGCAATCAAAACCCGGTACTAAAATGGTCTACCCAGAACCATGTAAAGGATTAAATATCCGCAGCTATTTATGGTTGGGATCGTCCCGTACAAACCGTCATTCACCCGGGGTTTGATTGTGGCTCAATTGACCTTTATTAGGTCCCTTTTAAGCCAAACTAATGGGTACCCTCACAAAACATCTCACTTGTGATCGAAGAGGATCAAACCCGAAAATCATGGTTAGCAGAATCCAAGCACGAGCCCCTTATGAGGCATTATTAGGTGATGGAGACCTGCTATGGTCCGAACTTCTCCGGATAAAGTAGTCATTGTCGACGTGGTCATCTATACCAAACGCTAGGGGTCATTGCTACTCCAATGCGCATGCAAACACAAACACAAACGCAAACACAAACACAAACGCAAACACAAACACATACACATACACAAACACACACACACACAGAGACTCGCATAGAGAAGCCACATTTGACTCCTCGAGAGGCACTGAAACACGTTCATTCTTCAAGGGCCCCAACAGTCGTAACCTGTAGCGAAAGAGTCAACCATCCAGTGCACCTTGGATCCACGCCTCCCTCCAGATTGATCAGTGGTTTTACTTTCAGCGCGGTCCAAATGCATTGTTTCCCGCATGGACATCGGGAAAACGAGCAAGTCCCAAGTTTTATTGATGGGAAAACGTGTGAGTTCTCCAATGTCCCGAACCAAATCAACCATAGACCACAGGAAATTTGGAACGCCGGCATGTCTCTCCCCAGATTCTATCTGAAGTGAATTCCCCATGTCCCGAACCAAATCCACGCTGAACCTGGAAACCAGAAATAACTGCTCGAACCTCGTGAACTGTGAACCTCCGTGCCATGTTTGTTGGCCGCCCATATTTTGTGACTCACCATTCCACAGGGTACCCAAATCTCTAGTGAGTAAGAAATGGCCCGTTGTCTGGCTGACGTTAAACAAACGCCATATAGGACAGACTGCGATGCAGGTCTCGGCCGTACGGACCCAAAACAAGTTGTAGGATTAGCCTGGTGGCCAAGATGTCTTGTTTGCCGCGCAATGACTTCCCCGAAAAAAAGCATTCTGGGTCCAGAATGTAAAGCCATTAGCCCGGTTCCCTTCAGCTCCTCGGTAAGCTTCTCAAAGCCCCTTTTGTTAAAGTCAACGGTTGTAAAAGGGACCGAAGTCAACTGCCACTTCGACCCCGTTTAGCCTGAAAGGTACCAACACAACTGGCAACTCGCCAGCGGATCGCAGTTGTCCCTCTAGCAACCCATGTTCGTCTCGTCTTTCATCTGGAGCCTCCATCACACTGCAACATGGGGGTCTTTACCCAGAATCAAGAGGTCATGACCCCAGTCTTGAAGGGTCATGGAGTCACGGAGACTCCAGGCACTTCACCGAATCACCGGCAACCGCATCTAGGTCCTCCAGTAGAGAGGTTAGAATAAGGGTATTCACTTTTTCCTGTAGTCTATTTTAGTAGCGGAACCCCCCAAAAAAGGGTAAAAGGGCACTACTCGGGGACGTAGGGATCGATCCACACCATGCCGCCGGCCATCTGGCTCGGCCGGCCCCGGGGCCGGCTCCCCACTCGGCCGAGCGGCGCGGACCCGGCCGCTGTCGCCCCCGAAGCCGGCGTCGCCCCAGGTGAGCACCGCCCCGTCGCCCCGCAATGCGGCGAAGGCGTTGCTCGACGCGCAGAGCTGCCTCGGTGCGCACGACCCACGCGCGCGCGACCAGAGTGGCCGCAGCCTTCATCCAAGAGACGAGCTAGAGGCGAAATTATGCAGGAAAGCCCCGGGTGTTTCCTGGTACAAGAAGTTTGCAGGAACTCCCTGTTGTTTTGGTGGGCGTTTGGCAAGGTGTTTGTATGAATTTGTGAGACTGGTTTCTATGACTTGGTCCAAGGGGTTGGAATCGGGGCTATTCAAACATGACTTTGTGGGGGGTTAAAGCTTTCCTGAGATTGGCCAACACACAAAATCCAACTTTTGGTGTACCACTCAAAGGTCCAGTTTAGCCTGAGTGGATGTTACCATGGCTACAGCACTGTTACAGCCCAGGGCTCACATGGATTTGGTGGGCTTTGCCGATGGTTCCTAACCACTTCCTAGATCTCACTTCCTAAGATTCGCCAACCAAAAGGGTCTCCAAATCAGTGGCTACCCCAAGTACACTCTCCGATCGAGTGGACCTAAATTCTTGGGTTACCCGAGGTCACGTTCAGATGCCCCCTACTCTCTCGCTTCCGGTCGCATGGATTGGCCAACAAAAAGTGAGCACATCGCTGTTTGCCATCCAAAAAATGTCTTCCAAAAATTGCCTAGTCCAGGAACTCAGGGAGCACGCGCTTAGTTGAGGAAAACCACCCTTGTGCTATCATCCGGTTGATTCCCATGACTGCTTTACTACTTAGGGGATTCCCTTGGTATCATGGCCAAAGCACAATTGTCCACGACTATGCACCATATCCTAAGAAAAGAGGGTAACACGAAGGGGGGTTGGATGGAGTTAGTGCTTCAAACGCGCAGCGTTTCTCAAGTTCCAAAAAACCGACATGACTCAGACCGAAGAACAAGCAAGAAAGGTAGAGGGAAACCAACCCACACGGCAACAGCCGGAAACTTCCCCTACGCCCTTTTGACCCTCCTTTTGGGTGAGAGATGCCAGACACATCGCCGATCTCTGTATCCAAGAGGGGAACAAGTCGAAAGGCCAACCCAAGGATTCGAGGCTTCCTGAACGTCAAGGGTCCTTGGCCAACCCTCGGTTTCATCGCAAATTGGAAACAGATTAAGAAGTCTACAAATCGTTAAAAGGGCTTCTTGTCACACCATATCTGATGACTGCCAAGTTATAAGCTTCATCCACCGCTGCGGTGATGGCTCCACTGGGTGTTCTTGCAATAGGCATCCTAAGAATGGCTGGTATCCTTGCGGTATTCCTTTCAATACCAACCCAAAAAGGGGGGAACTAGTTGGAGCAACAAAACACACTCAGCTGAGTCTGTTGCCGAGGTCTGTGAAAAGGCTTGCTTTGGGACATGTTGGGACCATCCACAATACACCTTCCACAATGCACCTTCAATTACCTTGAAAGGTGAACCCCTCTAAACTCTGAAAATATGATTGCTCGTCGAATGAACCAAATCCAATTTCGCATCAGATGGGGTTGGGCTGGATGGAACCCTATGAACAGTGGAATAAATCACCTAGAACCTTCCAATCAGCATGGCTAACCAAGTTACACTCCCCACATTGCTGGAAAACCAACCATGTGCACCTTCAATCTGCTGATGCCACCATGTAAAGGGACCCCCCCGTCTTCGAAACGGATCCCTCCGCTCTCGCTTGGCTCGGCGCTGCACATCGTAGAGCTGATCCTGGACCTCGCAGGTGTTCGCGCCTCGGGCCTGGGGCGCAAAAAACCCCCAAGTGCCGGGTCACCGGTTGTGCTTTTTGGTTTTTCTCAAAAAGATACAGGGATTCTGGGCAAAAAAAACAGGTGTGTGGTGCTTTTTGGTTGGTATATTCTACCTTTGTTTTTTCCAGGGGCTACGGGGATTCTTGGGGAAATGGCAAACAAAAAGGGCTGGCGCGTGTTTTTGGGAGTCGGTACCCCCTTTCTTGGTGGTAGAGGGGAACGAAGAACTGCCTGTTTTGGGGGGGTCCCGAAAAAAGACACATTCATACTTTACCGAAACTGAGGGATACCTACTATAGTATAAATGGAAGTCCCGTGAAAAGCAATGAGTCCGGGCAAAGTACCGCACGAACTTCAAAAGGAACCACGTGTCCCCTTCATGCGCGTATTTTACTCCCAGCTGGTTATAATTTGCCCAAAGAACCTATCGGCTTCCCTGACTGTCCAAAAAGGGAGTCGCTGATCTTGGCGTAGGCCTGTTTGGTGGCTTTTTGTTTGGGGGGGGTTAAATCGAACCAAGAAGTCAGTGAAGCCATCGATGTTCAACCAAACCCCCAATGCTCCTGCTTGCGCAATCCCAAGCCTTAGTTGGTTTCCTTTAGACTTACGGCTTGTTAAGTCCCTGCGCCTTTAGGGCTTAATCATTTTAGCATGGGTTGCACAGGAGTCCTGATTTGGACCTTGGGACCTTGACCATCACCTTTTGGTCGCGTCAAATTGAGTCTCCCTAAGGGGTGATGTGTCAGGTCCTTTGAAATCCACTTGGGTGTCTCATTAAATAGGACCACCCCCCCTTGGTCGGTGCTGAGAAAACACAATGGTAAACCCCCCAAAATCAGAACTTCCATAAGGACACACAAGACACCCACTCCCTATGTTGGTTGTTTGCCATTGTCTCATGTTGGAAATCCCTTTCCTATTGCAGGAAACACACAGTGGGGCCCTGTTTATACATAGAGAGAGACATGCGTAATAATTATGTTGCCCTACGCTTGGAACCCTGCAGCCCAAACACCCACCCACCCACACAAAGCACAAAGCACAAAAAAAAAGAACGTCTTGGTGCCTGCGGTCGGGTCCCACCCAAAAACATATTTTTGAGACTGGTTCATATTTAGTGAAGCTTACCATATCAGTGAATATAGAGACCCCAAATCCAAAGCTGTCGCCGCTCGACTCAATTCCAGAAACTAATCTGATTTTGCCGATCAGTGAGCTCCTTCAAATTTGCAGCCAGGATACTCGAGGCTGGTTTCACACCGGCAAAACACAAAAAGAGGCGACCCCAATGAGTTGCTTGATCTTAAAGGACACCTCTGAGAGAATTGACCCGAGTCACACTGGTCCACTGCTCCTTTTGTTTGAGCCTCCATTGAGGGACTTGACCCAACCAGAAGCTCCACTTCGTTGACTCCTCCAGTCGTCGCTGACTCGTTCCGAGGCGCGGGGTCGCCCCAGACCACCACGCGGCCATTGCCCAAGATGGCCGCGAAGGCGCTCTTCGCCGCCACGATCTGCTGCACCTGCCTCTCAGGTAATTTTCTGAGTCGGTTGTTTTGGAGCCCGCAGATGATGAGGGGTAAATGGGAAACCCCCTTAACAATCCAAGCCACCAAGTGGCCGTGGGTCAACACCAATGGTACCATTTTGGGGTAGGTGCACCACCCATATTAGTCTATTTTAGTGGGGATTGGGATGTTCATTGGGGGTATGGGGTTTTGACCCACAGCCAAGTGGAGGGAAGCTGAGATCTTGATCGGCTGCACGTCAGGAAACCAAGTGGGCTTCTTTGGAGCCCGAAGGCTTGGGGAGTTGAATCAACGGGAGCTTAGGGAAGCCATGGGATAAAAAGCGACCCTAAGGTATCCTGCTAGGATTTCTTGTTGTGATTGCAAGTTATTATTGTTTATGTTACTCTTAAAAAAACACAACTAAGCTATATATGACTCAGATCCCAGCCCCTTTGGGTAATCCTCGCCAATGTAAGGGTGGTGCCCTTGGTGTCCTATAAATGTAATCCATAGAATAACGGCACCCTGAAGAAAAACTACCTGGTGTCCTATGACACTCTTGCCCTGAAGGACATGGCCCGCCACACTGAGAACCTGATCCTGCCACAAAGGCTCATAGAGTCTCCAGGTCCGTTTGGGTGCAAGCAAATTGGGGTTGCACATCTGCTGGGGGCTTGGGTTTAATTTTAGATACATTAACTACAGAGGCAGGATGCTAGAGGGAAGTTGGACCCAACTGAGCGCTTCCAACGATCCAACCTGCAGAGGGATATGTCATAAATTCCTCACTCTGAATTCAAAAGTACGGTCAGCTGGGAACTGAGTTAAGTTAGCATGGTTCAAGACCAGAATCTGGGAATTGCCAGACTGACAAAACTTTTCCCCACAGCGACAGCTACAGGGTCCATTTGCCAAACTCCCCTTCGGCCCTGGCTTTGGCACGGAGTTCCTGGTGGGTTCTGGGCAGGTTGTGGGCCTCATCGGGATAGTCCTCAGGCGTATATATTTCATGGGCGGCTCCAGCTTGGAGCCGAGGCCATGTCATCATGTTGACTCCGAAGCAACTGCAAGATGAGATGTGATGCAAGGTGCAACACCCTCCACGCAACAGGGTGCGCTGCATTTTGCTCGTGATTCTGTTGGTGGGCTCTTCAATGCCTTCCGGGTCAGATGCAACAAGAATGGTGTCCTGGCAAGAAAAAAGTCATTCGTAGTCTGCCAATGGACCCTCCAAGTCTCCTTTGCTCCACCCCCCCCGCCCCTGCCTCAGCTGCTCCTGCGCGCCGGAGCTGTCGCCCCCGTGCTCCGGGTGGCCCCAGGTCACCACACAGCCGTCCGCTTTCACCGCGGCGAAGGCCGAGTGGGAGGCCGCCAACTGGTGGACCTCCTCCCATCGCGAGAGGATCCCTGGAGCTGTTGGCCCAGTTTTGAAAAAAAACGGAATCCCGACATGGAACCCCTGGTACGTGGAAACATGGACCAAAACCCGGGGTTTGCCCCTCCTGTTTAATTTTGAGCCACAGCCACATGTGCGGAATCGTGGCTGGATTGGATCTCCCTATGCTCCTTCGTTAGTGGGTCACCCATAAATGACATGGACACAAATTGTCAGCCTCTGTCCAAAGGATCCAGCGACCTTACTACTAGATAACCACGGGAGACCATGGTGTGAAACATCCGTGGCGCAAAGCTGGACCCCGTCTTCAAATTTACATCAATTCCTGGGTGGGGAGGGTGAACTGAGTCATGTAGAAAGCCCAATTAAGCCATCCTAATTCTGTGGCCTCTCTACCAGAGATTCCTGCAGCTGTTGCTGCACGGCTTGGCAGTTGCCGCCGCATTTGGCGTCGCCCCAGCAAACTACCTCGCGGAGGGTTCAGGCGTGGGTCGTTGTTTTGTTTAAAGCGTGGTTTGAAGCACCATTGCTCAAGCATCCTGATGCTGGTATCTGTAAAGGCTTGTAAAGGGGGCGTTGATGGCTCGTGGGGAGGGTTGCAGGCTGCCGCGATGTGCTAGTCATTATGTACACTCCCTGGAATTAAACAGGAAGCTCCGAAGCTTCTTTTTTTTGGCAGGTTAGTCGAAAAAAACAGGCCTTTGATAAATGCTAACATAGAAGTCCTTGGGGGGTTTTGGTCGGCTTCCGGATTTCAGAACACGCAGCTGACTTCCGACGACGGTTTGGGCAACGGCTCCCTCAAACCCTCAAAAAACCCCCCGCCCCCCCCCCAAACACACGCCTGAAACCCCCCCCCCCCCCGCGTGCCCCCCTGCCCCCACCAAGGTACCGATGTACGACTAGTGCTGTTGCTGTGGCATATGGGGGGTGAGGTGAGCTTGACTTGGATTCGTAATTCGTTTACCGAACTCCCAAGTCCAGCATGTGTTGCTGTTTCGGCCGAAGACTTGGCCACCTAGTGTGGCCTGATCGTGGAATCGCCTGAATACAGCAATTGCCATGGAAGCCGATCAAACGGCTCAGAAGGCGACTGGGTCCGAGACACCAGCTCGCGAACCTGCTCCTAGGCCTTAGATACCTTACTCTGTTTCCTCTTGCATCGACCCCTTTAGATCGGCTTGCATGTTAGCTGGATTTAGCCAGGCTTTGTTGGCTCCTCAAGGGAGAGCTTCCATGTTAGCCGGCTTTGGTTGTTTTGGTGCAGTGGTCTTTCGAGACCTAGTATGACTAAACCGAATATGTGTAAGATGTAGGTAAAAAGGACTGGTTTTTGAATCCAAGGTTTGCCGAAGAGTCTACCACAAGTCGCCACAAAGTGTGGCATCAGCGCCTGCTACCCCAGCAGCGTCTTGGTGTGTCAGGTATTTTTGTTCTACAATGTTTAAAGTTTGTGCTTGCCAACTTAGCACTTCCATGTTAACCCACTCTCAGTGTCTGAGGCTTTGCTCAGCCGGACGGGGACATGCGTCTTGGAGAATGGCACGGTGTACATCAAGGGATGGCCTGCCAATCGTAAGCCCGTCGCTTTGCAGAACGCTGCGCGGCACACGGTTGTGGAAGCTGCTCTGTGGGCTGAGACAGACGCGCGTCTCAACAGTCAACGTTTGTTTGGCAGTGTCTGTGTTGTTAACGTGGAAGCTCCACGCACGAAAGTTATGGCAATTCCTGCAGTGATCGGCGCCCCTAGATTGTGCCCTTTTTGTTTTTTGGTGTCTGCTCAGCTGACACCGAGGCAACATCAAAGGCCAAGGAGTTTGCCCGTGGCCTACCCGGAATATCGTTGCTACGCTCTGGGGGGACGTTGAGAGCGTCTTCGAGCTTTTCCGGGCTGCTCGTATAGCTTTGGCACAGCTGTTTGTGTCTCGCTTCCATGTTAGTTTTCCAAGTTAAGGTGATGTGAAACCAGTCTAGTTTCTTGCACCCCCACCGTTATGATCGTTGTATACCTCGAGGCTTGACGCCGCCGCGCGCGCCGCGAAGGTGATCGAGGCTCACAAATGTGGCGTGCAGTTCAACTTTGTCGCGCGGCATCAAGTATCCTTCTGTTTTTTTATCGTAGAAACTAAGCCGCAGGTGACCTGCCCCTGATTGTCCACTTTGCACTCTAAGGTGAGCAGCTGCGACTCGTCAACTCAAGTGCAAGAAGGTCTGCTGAAGGACCCGTTCTTTGAGCAGCACTGCATTTTTGCCGATGCTCCTTGCACGCAAAGAGCAAATACACCATCCACACACACACATCGCACACGCGAGCGCACACACACACACACACACACCTATTTGGATGGACCATGCTTCCTCAAATATGTGTATGAGTTTCCTGAGCTAACCTGGAAGTTGCGAGGGTGTTTCCAACCAACTCAGGTTCTGATGAATGTGGACAGCATCTCCCGCGCCAAGCTGAAAAAAGCGGTGGGCGTGGACCAGATCACCGAGATTTTGGGAAAAGCAGTTTTCCAGGAACGTGCACATTGTCTTCGGCATCCGTTCAATGTTGCTGGCTGCTTTCTACCACGCAACATTGACCTTGAAACCCGGCTTAATTATTCAAATACGCGACTTCCATGTTAGGGATGCTGGTGGGGTCAATCTGCTGATCTACGGTCCTGGTTTCCATTTCGCCTTCTTATCTACTGGTGCAGTAGTGGGGGGCTGCCTGCGTGACCTGTCACAACAAAGGATCTGAGTGGTGCATCGTGCAAGGACGACAGTTTGATGGGCGGAAACCGGCAAAATGAAGGTGATGGACGTCGCTCTGCTTTGACACACTTCAAGCAACTCAGCTGCCCCAATGGTTGAAAAGAAACCCCGTCCCGTAACTTTCTTTGCAGGCCCGGAAGGTGTTGTCACAAAGCAAGATTGAGAAAACATAAATTTGCAGGGCCCAAACCGATGCCCAACCATGTATTGCAATACAGTAATCAACTCATTTGCCGCCATGCTGAATCCAACCAGCTTTGCTGGAGCTGCTACAATGTACTTTGTGCGCTACGCTTGTACTGAAAAGTTGCTATTGTCCAGCTCAGCTGCCAAAATGCACCATTCGAGCTGGAGCTGCAGGAGTGTATACCGTATTCTACACTTGTACTGAAAAGTGACGACTTTCAAGCAAAGCTGCCAAAACACTACCGATACTTGGTGTAAGGTTACAGGTCACCACTTCTCTTCCCTCGCCCCTTGTGCGGTTCACGCTCTTTGGCCAACATGGAAGTTGAAAGCCCTAAAGCTAGCTTATGATGTTGAGGGGAACTATGGCCGCAGGTACCACTTGCACGCTGGTACCCGCATCATGGTGTGCGAGAACGTAACCACTGGCTCGATCCACCGCCTAACAAGTGAAGCATTGTCCAGCAACGACCAGTGCGAGATCCAAGTGGTTCACGCATCCAGTGATGACAGCGGTTATGGCGCCAACCGTCGGCTCAGAGGGTGGAAACTCGAAGGTCCATTAAACCACAGTTTTTCCTTGTTTACTGCAAACCCCGCTAACATGGAACTTGGGAGGGGGCCTGCCTGTTGTTGCATTCCGGCACTGCGTGCCAAGGACAATAGCGGTACGAAGAGACAAAGGTCGGTTCCTCGCCAACGTGCAACAGGCATATGATTTCATTTGTCACCATTTGAAGGAGAAACAAGTGTCTATCCTGGATGCATTCTGGTGCGAGGATGAAGACATGCTCCTCGAACTTCAAAAGCGTGTGACGTGTGGTGAGCATAAGGCAACCGAAATCCTGTTTGACTAACATGGAAGCCCAACCCGAATTTCAAGCTGCGCTTTGCTCGTCGATCCTAGGCTTCGTGCGGAACGTCAGCGTTGCGCCACACGTGGCAAACCCATGAAGGATTCGTTTGAGCGCCTTGCCTCAACAGTGAAATCGCACCCATCGGATCTAGGGTCTGAAGACCTAGGGAGCTTGTGACTCTTGCTCAAGAACTGCAAACTAACATGGATGCCGGCTGTGTCCCTAATAATAAACGCCCCCTCGCCCCTGATAGGCAAAAAAAGAAACGGGCCCCCCGGCTTGTTCAAGCAGGAAAAGACGGGCCCCTTCGATTTGCAAGAAAATGTGTTCAGTATGCAAATGTGAAGTAAGAACTTTTACAGGGGAAGGTACCCCTCCGATTTGAAAAACAGTGTCCAGAATGTATTCGGGGTGTATATCTCAGGGGAGATTTGGTTCTATCTACTGTGGCTTTCTAGGAGCTTCCACGATAGTACTTGTGCTGTTTGGTTGCTCAGGGCAATGTTGTCCGATTGGGAGAAGAAGAGCCTGCAAGACGCGTGGTCGAAGATCGATGAGGACTCAAATCTCCGCCCAATATGGGCTGTGTTTAAATTCTAGGTTAGTCTCCAAAAGAAACACATTTTTAGGAACCCCCTTCCAAAAAGCACAGTTTTTTAGGGCTCAGCTGCTTCAGGATCCGCGTCTTCAAGGGCATCCCGAAGTACACGTTGCAGTTCCGCAGCAAAGTGTGAAATGCATCAAGAAGACATCAACTTCATGGACCGTTGCCAGTCACAGTGGCTGGAAATTTGCGGCCGCTAACATAGAAGCTCCAATATGTTTGTTGGTTTCGATACATGAGACACATCTCAAATACAGTAATGACGGACCAAACGCTTTAATTGCGCAGGACTATGCCAACCTTCACTACGGTGGACCATGTGTGGCATCGGGTCAAAGGCCGGTGGCTGACTGCGGTTGAAAAGCTGTCTGTTATGGGATTCCCAAGTACACCAGAAATATCCAACGTATACGGGACCGACGCTTGCCGTGCTTGTTTTCCTTTTTGCTGTGTGTTTCCGTCAGCCAGTTTCAATCCAATTGAAGCTTTTCGCTGTCTACGTTGCGCCAGCTGTTCTTTGCGCAACACAAACCCATGCTGAAGGATTAACCCATTGATACACATCCAAGGACCTCATGGCTATGGATGCGTGGCCACAACTGCACCAGCGGATCGGCAACTCGCAACACCTTCCGCAGGCTGTGCCTGGGTAGCATCGATCCCTCCAAAGAGCCAGGCTTGGGTTTTGTTTTGGCGCGGGTCGTTTTTATAGCTTCCATGTTAGTCAGCTCTTCCGACCGATTTTTGCTAAGGGCATCGTGTTGCTGGCAACGCTGAGTTGCGTAGAGTTGTATACCACGACAGCAATGCCGTCCAAATTGTACGGGCCCAACGTCGTCCTGCCAGTGCAAGCAAACGGATTGTGCTTTTGGGCGTGCTTGTTCCTGGGCACAAAAGCTACGCATCTTCAGCTGCTTGGTTGGCATTCACGCCCTCGGAATTCTCAGGGGTTCCCATCGCCAGAAGAATGCACCATGGAAGATGACGTGGTTACCAGGTTTGCGTTGGCCATCAATGGAGGTGACTTACCCGTCCGCTGCCGGGGGCGAATCTGCTTTCGA